CTGTGATTCATAGTTCAGTGAGGTTAGGTTGATGACTATGACTATGACTGTGATTCATAGTTGAGTGAGGTTAGGTTGATGACTATGACAGCCATAAAAAATGACCTTGTCTGATCATTTTTTCAAAATAAAAAAAAATAAATAAATAGACAATATTTTTTTTGTTTATTCAATTAAAAAAAACAAATTTTTATTCTATTCAGCTACTGCATTTTGTGTTTTTTCTTTTTTTTCAAAAAGCCATAAAAAGGATCACTATGTTTATGTGGAGATAAAGATAACAAAATAACAAAAGCACCGAATAGACGTGGTCAACAATAATACCCTATGGCTATCATAAAAAAGGCAACATTATGCGATTAAAACGATTAGTCGGTCAACATTTCACATTTTTAAACATAAACACATGTGTCAAATGTTTACACTTGCTTTCTTTTTTGGCCAGATTCTCACCCTTTTCTTATAGAGTGGATTGGTTTTGTTTAATTTTAGAATCCGTTTCAAAATTGAAAATAGAAAACCAAGTCATCATTTTGACCATGTCTTCGAATGGATCAACATCAACATTACATGAAAATTGTTATCGAAATGGATTTTCATGGCCATTACCAAAATCTTTATTTCAGCATTATCCGGATTATCGACAAGGACCAAAACCATGGACAATTATTTGTCGTCATTGTAACAAACAATTCAATATCATTCACCATAAACGAAGACAAAACTCAATCGAATTAATGAAACGACATCGACAACAACATCAACTTATACAACAACATCAACAACAACAGAAAACAATCCCCAAACCAAATCTTAAAATAAGAATTTCTCTCAATAAGCAAAATAATCATTGCCAATCATTACTAATCCATGATTACCATAATAATAACCAAATATTTGTTGCCAATAAATCTTGTTCAATGGATCTGCAACGATTACCATTGAAAAAACGTTTTAGTTCAAATTTTCAACGAAAGTATGATAATCAATTTCATGATATTCAATCATCATCACCATCATCAACGACAACAACAGCAGCCAGATCAATAAATCGAAAATTATCACCATTCATCAATACTGCTAGCAACAAAAAGATTGAAATCATCACTATCGATTGATTTGATTAGTTTAATAATCATATTTCTTTATCAAAATATATGTTTTTTTTGTAACTAAAGAACGATAATGCTGAATAAAGCAAAATGACAATAAAATCAAATAATCTAATGTAATGCGTATTTTTCTTTTCTCTAAAATTAAAAAATTCAATTTTCATTTTCATTTTGGTTTTGGTTGACACACTTCAACAGTGTTGTGGTGATGATGATGATGAAATTATTAATATTGGCATTAATAACATTATGCTCGATTCGAATTGGAGAATGTGTTCGTATCGTGTTGGAAGAGAATATTGCGGATAAATGTGATTATTCAAAATGTCCAACTGAAATAAATGATGGACATAAATTATATGTTCATCTGGTACCACATACGCATGATGATGTCGGTTGGCTGAAAACTGTTGATCAATACTATTATGGTACTAAACAATCCATACAAAAAGCTAGTGTACAGGATATTCTCGACACTGTTATCGATGAACTGATACGAAATAAACAACGTAAATTTATTTACGTTGAAACTGCTTATTTTTGGAAATGGTGGCTTGAACAAAATGAACAAATGCGTTCGATTGTTAAAGAATTAGTTCGAACAGGTAAAACAATTGATACTATAATAATTGTTGATTTACTGTTGTTGATTGGGTAAAGGTCAATTTGAATTTATAAATGGTGGTTGGTCAATGCCCGATGAAGCGACAACACATTATCAATCACTAATTGATCAATCAACATGGGGTTTACGACGTTTGAACGATACATTTGGTCATTGTGGTCGGCCAACGGTTACATGGCAAATCGATCCATTCGGACATTCTCGTGAATTGGCTAGTCTTTATGCCCAGATGGGCTATGATGCCTTATATTTTGCACGGGAAGATTACCAAGATCGTTATTATCGTCAATTCAATCAAACATTGGAACATGTTTGGCAAGGTTCAGATGATTTAGGCAAACGAGCAGATATTTTTACCGGTATGATGCAAATGGGTTATGGTCCGCCTAAAGGATTGAATTGGGATTTGGTTGGTGGTGAAAATGATCACATTGTCGATAATATTGATTCAAAAGAATATAACGTTCCACAAATTGTTAAACAATTTCGACAATTAGCCAAAGAATATTCCCAATATTATGCAACAAATCACATAATGTTTCCAATGGGTACGGATTTCAATTATCAATCAGCACATCAATGGTTTCAAAATATGGATAAATTAATCAATGCTATCAATTCTGATCCGAAATTCAATGATATTCAAGCAATCTATTCAACACCATCATGCTATACCAAAGCACTTTATGATAGTAATCACACATGGCCAACTAAACGAGATGATTATTTTCCATATGCATCGGATCCCCATGCATTTTGGACTGGTTATTATACATCACGACCATCATTGAAACGCATGGAACGTGTTGGTAATAATTGGTTACAAGTATGTAAACAATTAGATTCATTTGCATTGAATAATGGTCAATATGATTCGAATATAACCAGACTTCGCGAAGCTATGGGTATTCTACAACATCATGATGCTGTAGCAGGTTTGTCTTTTTTTCTGTTAATAATTAAATAATAATGATTTCATTCAATATAGGAACTGAAAAACAACATGTTGCCAATGATTATGCTCGAATATTACATGAAGCCATTGTTGAATGTCAACAAATAATCAGTTTAAGTTTGAATAATATTGCTAAAAGTTTAGGACAACAGTTCCATTCGAAACCAGATGAGCTACAATTTTGTAATGATCTCAATATTAGTTCATGTTCCATGACTGAAAGCGGTCATAGTTTTTTGGTTTCGATATATAATCCATTAATACATCCATTATCCAATCATACTGTGCGTTTGCCTGTTAATGAAAGATTTTTCTATCAAGTTTTTGATGATAAAGGACAATCTATACCGGCTGTATTAATACCAATACCAGAATGGATACGAGAAATTCCTGGCCGACCACAGCGCCCCAATTCAAATGTGGAAATTGTATTCAAAATTAATCATTTAGAAGCATTGGGTTTGGTGACATATACAATTCGATCATCATCTCAATTTACTAAACGATCAGCACGATTAATCAAAGGTAAACCAATCGAATCGAATGGAATAAAATTATCCGGTCGAAACTTTGATCTATTTTTTGATGAAAATGGAAAACCAAAAAAAATAATGAGTCAATATGGATCAAATGAATTTCGCAATGCAATTCGTTATTACGAAGGATCGATTGGTGATAATCAACTGCAAACCAATCGTTCCAGTGGTGCTTATATATTTCGTCCAATTGAACAAACAACCAATGCATATGGTGAAATAGTTGAATCCATTGCTTATATTGATAACGATTATGGTTTAGTGCAAGAAATACATCAAAAATATGAAGATAATGTCTTTGGACAAATCATACGATTAACTGGCGATAGTGAATTTGTTGAATTTGATTTTGTTGTTGGACCAATATCAGTATGGGATAATATTGGTAAAGAAATAGTGTTACAATATCAAATTGATCAAGATAATGAGGGTCGATTTAAAACTGATGCTAATGGTCGACAATTATTATCAAGAAAATGGAATTATCGTCCAACATGGCCAGTAATCATTGAAGAACATATTGCCGGTAATTATTATCCAGTCGATTCACGTATTTTATTGGATAATCCAGACGGGCCAAGTATTGCAGTGTTGACTGATCGATCTGAAGGTGGTACTAGTCCCTATTCGGGTATGATTGAATTAATGGTACACCGAAGATTATTACATGATGATGGCTTTGGTGTTGATGAAGCACTCAATGAACCAGGTGTTGATGGTCATGGTTTGGTTATTCGTGGTCGACATCGATTATTATTGTTTAAAGATGGCCAACCAGATTCTAGTTATCACCGACCATTATCGCAACAATTCTTCATGGAACCTATAATGATCTTTGCCAAACTAAACAAACAACGTCATCATCATACAAAATCAATGGCGATGATAATGAACAAATTTTCAATGTTACGAACATCAACATCATTACCGCCGCAAATACATTTATTAACATTAGAACAATGGTCATATGATCGTTTATTATTACGTTTAGAAAATATCTATCAACAAGGCGAACCAAGTAGTAAAAAAGTGCGAGTCAATTTAAGAAACTTATTCACTACATTCACTATAACTCATGTTGAGGAGATGACACTATCGGCCAATCAACCGATCAATGTGATTGATAAACGTTTACAGTTCAATTATCAATCTTCAGATGATAATCAATTCTATTATCGACCACCATCATCAACAGCCAATAATACTTCGATGGACATTGAACTTGGACCAATGGAGATACGTACTTTTTTGATTAAGATTTCAAAACCACAACGACAATTATAATTATTATTTCTTCTAGAAAAATTCTTCATCATTTTAACATAAACAAAATGTTTTTGGTTGGTTGAAAAGAAATGTTGAAAGAGATGATATCTCATGATATTAGTTTGATTAATAAAAATAATATTTTTGTTGTTGTTTTTAAAAGTTAAAAATAGCAAATAAATATTAAATAATAATAATAACACAATGATGGTATTATTGTGGAATGTTTGGAATGAATGATATTAATTAATTAAAAATGCTGATTCTTTGAATGATGAACAATGAATTATATAAGGGGCAAAGATGGATGGAAATTTTTTTCCGTTTCGAAAATAACATCAACAGTCATGTGAAACACACGTGAATATTTTTTGTTTTGTTTTTCTGGAAATTTTTTCTTAATCTGCTTATTCAGTGCGATTTTTTTCAGCTTTGGGTTTTGTTTTTCGTTGCGGTCTAATGCCGTTTATGTTTTAGAGAAAAAAAATGCGAATCGAATCAAACCAACTGATGAGGATGGTGGTGGTTGTGATGCGGAGAACAAAAAGGATGCAACCAACAAGAGTAGGTTATTATTATTATTTGTGATCGACATTTTTAGTTTATCATTATTTTTAATTAAACTAAAAATAAACATTCCAACAACCAAAAAACATATGATGACTCTAATGATAATGATTTTTGTTTTTTTACTTTTACTTTTCATTAATTGTCACGCCGAATTGCAAAAATAACATGATTTTTTTCTGTTTTCATTCGGGCGTAAAATAAGAAAACTTTTTTTTGTTTCGAACAAAATTCTCATGTAAAAATTAACATTTAACATTCTCTCTCTCTCACAGTAATGATGAAGATGGATCTATTCGGCATTCGGTGAGTAAATGGGGAATGCATGAATTGAATTGAAAAGTGAACGGAAATTTTTTTTTCAACACTTGTCATCAATCATTCTGCCGAATGATGTTTTCAAAAGTAAAAGTTTGTATTTGCAAACCCTTCTTGCTTGCCCCATTCACTCATCCATCCAACCATCTAATTATTCATTCATGACGTTTACGTTCATTCAGTCAATTTTGAGGATTAAGAATATTCCTCTTCTTCTATGATGAAATATGGAAAAAAACAAATAATGATGATGATGATGATGTTGAATAATTTTGTTTTGATTTTTGCTTCTTAGCGAAAAACATGTATGTTTTCATTTTCATCATCATCATTATCGCCATTATCATTCCATTATTCAAATGTTGATGTTGATTGACAAAATTCTGGAATTCGGTTTGTCATCATCAACATCAACATCAACATCAACGTTAACATTAACATCGACATTATCATTCATGTACGTTGTTTCGAAGACCAGTTAAATGAAAAAAAAACACAGAAGTAAAAAAACATTGGAAATGATTTGTCGTGACATTTGTTGTTTTCGAATTTTTCTATATAAACGAAACGGTTTATTTGAGAAAATAGCCAAAAACAGAAAACAACGAGATTTTTTTGCTTTTTCGAAAAAAGAAAAGGAAAATAATTTGATAATTTGTCAACGAAAATAGCAAAATATAATTCAATCAAAATTTATTGTCATTTCATTTCGCTGTTTGAATTGAAAAATGGCACATCGTATTCATTCATCGGCAAGACGTTCATCATTACCGCAATTAACATTTGCAGCAAATTTCTACAACAATCCATTCATCAATAAAAAGTAATTTATCATTCTTTTTTATAATTATCATTTTCATTCATTTATTCTTTCTCCAGTTTACGGCGACAATCATCAGTATCAATTGAAACGGAAGAATGTTTATCAACATTATTGGCGAAAGAAGGGGAAAATTTAGATTTGGCCGAAAATCAATTGAAACAATTGGGCGAAATCATTATCCGACCAAGCAAATTTCAGCTAATATTGGATGTTATTGAATTATCGCCTGAAGATATTAAAGTTCGTGCATTTCGTAAAGGTTTTCTAGTGTCGGCTGCACATTGCGAAATATTAGAGAATGGGCAAGAATATACCACTAATCATTTTTATCGGGAATATATTCTACCGAAAACAATTTGTCCGGAAAAAGTTTTAGCTTGGATAACAACTGAAAATCTACTGTTTGTTGAAGCACCGAAAAAATTTCCCGATGTTATCATCACTGATATGATTGTTGAAGATGATCATAATATTTCCAACGATGATGATGATGAGGATGATGACCATTTGATTGATCAATTTGATTATGAAGATGAAGCAATCGATGTGGAAGTTTTTCGTCAAGTTTGATTGCTTTTGAATTGGTCGCCGCTAGATGGTGCGATCATTAACTACCCTCTTTTCTAAATGAAAAAACCAAAAATATTGATGATTGGAACATTTGATGTATTTTTTTGTTTTTTAGTGACCAACAATTTGCTGTATTGTTCATTTTTCCCACAAAATTCGTCAAATCTCTACATCATTGACAGCATCCATTCGATATTTGAACCGTCGAAAAATCATATAAATTATAATTTTGATAAATGTTTTGAATCTAAATGATAGAAAGAGAATCAATAAACAAACGATATTTGATTAAAATTAAATTTGAATTTTAAATTCGTTTTTCCCCACTTTTGTATGAAAAAAATTCGATAGTGATTGAAAACACGTTTTTTAGCACGTTTATTCAATTAATTGATTAATTAGATGTAAAACATTCGGCTAAAACTTTTCATGTTTATTTTTTTGTTGTTTCTTGAAACGAAAAAACAAAAACAAAATATCACGAACAAAATAAATTGTTTACTTTCTCGTCGTGAATTGATTATGGTCGGATGATGATGATGATGAGATTCGAATCGATCGATACTATCGATATTAATCGACTGGGCTTTGTTGTTGCTCGATGATAATGAATTCGAATGTTACCGGGCCATACATTTTTTTCTTCGAATCAATCATTCTATCGGCCTTTTTTACTTTTACTGTTTTTTGTTTCACTTTCGTTTGATGATGATAATGATGTATGATGGTGATAAATCATTCATGGTTGATCGTAGAACAAAAAAACGACGATGTTTTTGTTAATGAAAACAGTAAATCTTATAATTTAAAATAATGGTAATGAAAAGAAAATCTTTCAATTTTGTTCATCATCATCATTATTATTATTAATATTGATTCAAATTCCCTAAATAAGGGCATCAAGGAACATTATTGAGGGCAATTTGTTGTTGGCAATATGAAAAATATCATCATCATTATTATTGGTTGTGCCAATCCTTACTAATTTTCAACAAAAAAATTTGACCCGTTTGGCACTACCTTGAAATTGTATGTTATTCATTGAATTGATTTTCAATTCAATCTCTCACACAATATAATCATCTTGTCAATGGTAAATATATTAAATGTTTTATGTGAATATTTAATATTGATGTTTGAGTTTTTTTTCTTTATTTTTCATATTCAATCAGGATTGTAATCATCATCATTGTATTTCTAAGAATTGGCTAGAAAAAATATGCATTTTTGTTGTTGTAAATTTTCATCCGAATCCAATTGCGAATTCAATGAATAATTACTATTAATCGATGGATGGATCATTTGCTCGTGTACATGAATACACTTTATTCATAAAAATTCCACTCGTCAATTGAGAAAATTATTTCCTATCAAAAATTGATTACCATCATCATGATTCTCAAGGATTTTTCAATTATTTCATACATTTGCATTTGATGATTCCAAAGCAAAATGTCTTAATATTTTCAACAAAAGAATCTAAATCAAATTCTACAATAATACAGTCCTCAAGACAATTGGAAATTTGCAACAAAACAAATGTTTAATGCACCACCTCAACATAATAATGGATGGATATGGACAATGACACTGACAAATTGCTCTGATAAAATGATTTTCTACTCTTTTCATCATCCTAATGGTAAGCATTGAAAATATTTTCATTTTGTTTAAGGTGGTCGATCCTTGTTTTATTTGATTTGATTTGTTTCCCCATCATTATTTAGCAGCATTCAAACATCAAGCAAACGATAATCATGATCCTGGAACAACACAGCACATTACACACTGACTGACTGATGGACTAGGCTCTCTCCGAAATTGAAAATAAATTATAAATCAATTACAAAGAGAACAAACACACTTGATATATACAAAACAGTAACAATTCTGTGTTTTGTGTTCACATTGTCAGGCGATTCATCATCATCATTTATGAAAAAAAAGCAAAATTTTTTGGCGGAACGCCACATATATTGAAAATTGCATAGTCTCTCTCTCTCTCATTCTCTTTCTTTGAATTTGTAAGAAAAGTACAGTCTGCATTGACCACTTGTTGAAATATTTTTGTTGTTCATCATTCTATAGCCAATCCATAGCTATTGGTTGGTATATTGTCAATTGAATATTTTTGAAACAAAGTATTCATTCATTTGATATCCAGCCAGTGATCAGTGATCATCCTATATCATATAATATCCTTTTCAATCATTCACCAAACATTCATCATGCAAAAGGTGATTGATATTTTTGTTGTTGAATTGAGTGGAATGAAAATTAATTATAATTTGATTTTAGTTAATGATAGTCATGATAATGACTGTAATGGTCATCAATATGATAGCAGTTTCTGCTCAAAAAGGACGATCATATGTTAATCCATCGCTTAGTCCTGGTCGTAAAGCTTTTGCCAAAAGTCCAACTCGACCATTAGTTCCACCGCCCAGAATAAGTCAAACGGTAAATGATATCTTTGTTCTTCTAGATTAAGATTGACCTAATTGAATACGTGATTAGCACATCGATTCGAATTCAGCTCTTTCGGCTGGTTTGCGACCAGCTGCACCTGCACCGATTCCAGCACCAGCACCTGCAAAAGCTTATGGTGGTACTAAATTACCCAGACCAAATGCTGCTGTTGCTGCAACCGCTCCGAGACGCCCGATTCCTTCTCAACCAGCAGCTCCACGTCCCGCACCTGTTCCAGCTCCGGCACCTGCTCCAGCTCCAGCTCCAGCACGATCATCATCTGCCGTTGCTGCTCCTAGCCGTAATCGTGATAATGATGATGGTGATGATGGTGGCCCACATCCAGCTCCTGAACCATATTCATTTTCATACGCCGTTAATGATGAAGAAAGTGGTGCCCAATTAACACGTGAAGAACGACAAGATGCTGGCGGTAATATTGTTGGATTTTATCATATTATGGATGCTGATGGTCGTCGACGTCGTGTTGATTATACTGCCGGTCCTGAAGGTTTCAAGGTATTTTACTTGATTATTTCTTTTTGTTTTGATTAGCTAAAATTTTTGTACACATAAAATATCCCATGAAAAATCGCAGGCTACAATCAGTTCGAATGAAGAAGGTTTAATTAGCCGAGATTCTGCTGATGCTGGTTACACTGTTGAAGAAGTACCCGAAGATCGTCAAAATGCTGTTGCTGCTGCTGCACAAGCCGCTGCCCGTGGTCGACCACAAGCATGAATTGATTGATTTTAATTCCTACCAATTTAACAGATCAATAGTGATTGATTAGCTCAAATCAACAAATTTCAAAAGTCCATCGTAATCGTAAATAATCAATGGTCAACAAACAAAATTAATTAGCCATTTTTCTTGAATTGTAAATCTTAACAAATTACCATCACCATCGTCATGAACAATATTGTTACAAGGTCGAATAATTATGATTTGGGGGAAGAAAGTGAGTGCATTATGATGATGATGATACATTATAAATACGATCCATGTTCCTTGTTTTTTTATTTCTGAAAAAAATCATTTCTATATAGTACGCCTACACACACACATACCTTTTTTACTTTTGGAATTTTCCCTTTAATTTTAATAAATGTTTAAAAAATTTCATAAAATTATTTCTTTATGGTGATAATGATGATGAGTGTAAAACAAATGAACAAAACAACAAAATTTTCCACAATAAATCACATTCAAACAAATTTTGTTAAATGCAAAAACATGATTAATTTGTCGTTTGATCATTGATGATAATTGTAGGCGATTGACATTGGATCATCTTCATTCAATAGGAAATGATTTACGATTCTTGAACTTGGATTCAATTCATTCAATAAATTGTTTGTTGCCATTGAAAAACACAGCGAGAGAGAAAAGGAAAAAACATTTCAAAAATAACATGCTAATATAATTCCTGTGTGATATGGCTTTGGGCGAAAAAATTTTAAAAAACTTTTAAAATTGCTGTTCGAGGTCTGAATTATTGAATTTTAAATTTGTTTCGTTATTTTAAAGAAATTCAAACAAACAAACAGGTATAGGTTTCATTGATTACCATTTGAAATTCCTGTGAATTTTTAAATAAATGAACATCATCAGGTGCTCATGCTTATCATTGCTTATTCCGTTATATGAAATTGTTTACTACTCATGTTTGATGGATATGGGTGTTGTATGTCGTTTTTTCTCGATGTTTCTTGCTTTTTCGTTGTACAAAGATATTCAAGTTAAAAAGGATTTTGTTAATTTAAATTTGTTTGTTGAGCATCCTGGCATGTATATAAATGATGTTTTGATGAAATTTTGAATCATTCATATTCGAACATTATTGATTGATTGATTATTTCCCTGATTAATTAGACAAAATGCTCAAAGTATGTTTTTTGCTTAACTTGATTGATTAATGACTCACTTCAATTAACTTTGTTTATCTCTTGAATAGCGTATCATAATATTGTTGGCCATTACGGTGCTTATATTCAACGAACAAATAGTATGCCGTAATCTTTTATCAACCATACGTCGAACACGTCAATTACAACCACAACCGGAGGAACAACCCTCACCATCACCATATTCGTTTAATATAGAATCTGTTGATGAAAATGGTACCGTATCGCGAAGACAGGAACAAGGTGATGAACAAGGACGTGTGACTGGACAATATTCGTTTCAAAATCCGCAAACCGGTATCTATCGTATAGTATCATATACTTCGGATGAAAATGGTTTCAATGCACGTGTTGAAACAAACGAACCCGGTACAATAACATCTAATCCGGCTAATGTTGAAATCATCTCAGCAGCTGTGCAGGAAGCTTAATTTTTCTGATCTAATCAATGAGAATTTTTTGTTGTTGAAAAAATGTAAAACTAGCCACTCTTCCTTGTTGTTATCAACATATATATTTTTCCCAAATATCCTTGATCAAAAAATAAGTGATTGAAAATCGAAATATTTTTTTTATTAAATAAAATTTGTTTTTTTTTCAAAACTTTGCTTAAATGATGATCATATTGTTCAACAATCGATATATCGATGTATTAACCATTGTTGTTGGAGATGATCGATGTTTGTTTTGGGTAAAAACCATTATCGTTGCAAAGATGAGAGACAAAATGAAACAGAGGATCATTAGGATACGATGATGATCCCGTTCGCATACGAACGATTTTTTCGTCCATTATCGTTCGCTGCTGTGTTTTGTAATACGATACGCGTTCCAAAAAAATGGTGAGATCATTTAATTCAATAAAAATGGAACAATGTAAATGGGATAATCAATGGACAACAAGTTAGCACACAGACTGTATATAGCTACTGTTTTGTTTTGTTTGTGTCTCATCTCTGTCGAATCTGAAACCGAAAATGTATGCTTTTTTTGTCCCACAACGACGTTCAGCATTCATTTTCATTTTGATCATTCCTCCGTATCGATCAATGTTTTTGCACCCGAAAAAATGCAAGTGAATTTGTCAATGTTCATCATAGTGATCATCATCGGTATGACTTGTGATTCGATTCTTAGCCAAAATAGCCATTATCAATATGCCAAGCAACAGCAACAGCTAAAAACAAATCGATTCTATTCTAATAGCAATAATAATATTGTACAAGCAGCCATTGTACGAAAACATCGCATTATCTATGTTAATTCACCGTCAATGGATACAAGTCGACCGGTCACCATACAGGTACCGGCACAATCAATACCCTTAACATTAATATTACGCTCAAGTTCAACCGATTTGAATGTTATACCACAACATCTCGGATCGCATGGTGGGTCGCATTCGGAAACCGAATCCATTGATGAACCACATCGTTTGATACATGTTGTACGAAAACCAATCATCCAGGAAATATATGAAGTAATTGAACCATATCGCTATGTCAAACAAGAAATCCAACCTGTTCAAGAAACCATACGCACTGTTATTGCCAGACAAGTCAATAATAATGATCAACAAATTTCAAATAACCAAATGCAGTCATATGCTAACCATAATCAACATTATGGTCAACAACAAGCAGCAATAACAATGATACCATATCAACAACAAGAATCTCAACAACAGCAACAACAATTATTATGGCAAATTCAGATGCGTAATCAATTAATTCAACAGTATCGCCGTGCAATCTACAATGGTCTATTAACAAATCTATATGGCATACCTGTATTATGATTATTTTATTTACCAAAACATCATCTTTTTTGCACATTAATTTTGTTTCCAAAAAAACGTTTGATTAAATAAAATTATTATTTTACATATAAAACGTGCGTGTTATGAACATTTCATTTCGCTCATCATCATTAGCGAAGTTAATTCGAATCGATTGGTCTCGAATTAAATAAATAAAGTCTTATGATTATATCGTTGTTGATTTGTTTCTTAAAAAACTCAATTTCAAGGTAAAAACAAGTGGAGAAACAGAAAAACGTGATTATCGCCAAACAAACAAAAATAAACGATCCAAAAGAAGAAGCAGAAAACTGAACGAATTGATTTATTGATTTATTTCGTTTCAATCACTGATAATGTGGGGACAATTTGCTGTTATTGGTTTTCTATCTTCTTCTTTTCGAATTTTCAATCAAAATTTCTCGCATAATCAATCATATATGTCAAATGTAGAATTGTTTGTTTGTTTTTGTTAATTCAAAAAATCCTAACTCGTTGACTCGCTGAATTCATCGTCAATTCAGGAAAATGAAAATGAAGGTTTCTCAATTTTTAAATTTCAATCCAAGTTGCGTGAATTTATCGGAAGAGATGAATGATAAATTTTGATTTGTAATCAAGAAAAAAACCTTAATTCAATACACAATAACATGATTGATTCATTTATTTTTAGTTTTTTCAGAAAAATATTTAATAAAAATGTACCCGAAAATGTTGATTGAATGATGATCACATGATTGAATTTTGTTTTGCTTAATGCTTAATGAATGATTCAAATATAAATGAATCAATGCATAATTTATTCATTTTATGCTAAACCTTTTTTGTTTATAATCCTGGAACGAGATTGATTGCAATGGGTTCCAGAAATACCTACGCACTTTCTGAAATATCGGCAATGATTGATTAATAATCGAATTGAATATAAAATTTGAATTTCGAGTGATTCTAAATAAAATTTCCTGAAAACTTTCTCACTTTTGATGAAAATAATGTGCAATCATCATTATGTTTTGTAATGATGATTAATTCATAACAACAACAAAAATTGCAAATGTTTTTCAGCCTTGTTAGAATAACTCAAAATTTTATTGATTTTGTTTGCCTTCAATCAAATAAACCTCTGCTGAATACTGATGATGATCTTGATAATATCCACCTCAATAGAAATTTCTTAATTGCAATTAGATAAAAAGACATTTTGCTAATCAGAAGTTTTTTCTTGATTAGATAATACGTGCAATTTGTTTTTGTTTTTGTTTGTCATTTATGAAAGCAAATTGATTATCATCATCACCATCCGAAATGTTTATGTTTCGTTACTGTATTTAGCAGTATTTAGCAATATTTAACAACAAAACATCATCAAAAACATCATCATGACACTAGACATCATCATCTGCAAGTGATGTTAAATTGATTGATTGATTTGATGATGATGATTGCCAAATTTTTTTAATTGATTTTTTTCGAAAAAAATTTATTTATAATATTAATAATATATAGTGATTGATTCAAAAATAGAGATTTAGTTACATTATTTTACTTAATGAAAAATTGAGTTTGTTTTGTAATTTTGACTCGATTTTTTCTTAAACCTGGTTACCTAAATAGGTTTTTACGCCTGATGACGACGATGATGACGATGATGATGATGGTGATGAGGATGATGACGAGGATGAGACCGATATGGATGATGATGAGGATGATGTTGGTGATGTTTGTTGTTGTTGTTTAGTTTTTTGTGAAGTTGGTGTCTTCAAAATAGCCGCTAATGACTTGGATAAACTTTGATCCATTGCTTTGGCAATTGATTTGCCATCCAAATCTGTTCCTTTTAGAATGGATGATGATGTTACGATCGCATTGCCATTTTGTATTAATTTTTGGAAATCAACATCATCATCGTCTTCCATGGAATCCATAGAATTATCATTATTATTATTATCGATTATAATGGGTGATGCTTGCACATGATGTTTTTTATTCGATGATGCAGCTGCAACATAATGTTGTTGTTGTCCCATTGTTGATGTTGTTGTCGGTCGTCCTTGACCAGCTGGCTGATAGCGATTGCTATTCTTGGCCACAACAGTTTTAATTTCTTCTTGTACTGGATGTACTTCCTGCAGAATTTTTCGATATGGCGATATAACTTCATGGATTTCTTGTATGATTGGTTTGGTTACTGTATGCAAAAGACGATGTGGTTCATCTTCGGACGAGGATTCCTGTGTATCACCAACCGAACCTTGATGTCTCTGTAATACATTCAACGATGATGATGCGGATCGGAATATAATATTGATCGGTATTGATCGTGCACCAACTTGATTCAACGAAATTTAAAATAGCATTTGATTCAAGCAAACAAATCAATCAATAACAATTTTACCTTCAACAGTTGCCGTTTGAATTGAACCGGATGATGGAACATCTTTATATTCAACATTATGTTTGGTATGAATTGCGATAGGAATCACACCACCACCATTATTCTTGGTTGACGATGATGAACGACCAAAAATTGAACCATAACCACTGGAACCACCGACGTTGGTTGCACGAACCACCATTGGTGCAGCCATAATCTGACCACGACCAGTACCATGTGATGATAAGGTTCGATAACCACCAGAATATGGTGCCGATTTGGATATGGTTACCATCATCATCATAATGATGGCCAATATAAACTGAATCATAACATGGAATGATTTGGTTTTTCAAAAATTCAAACACCAGATGCGACACTTACCTGTAACAAGATTATCATTATTATGATTATAATGGTCAGTTTATCCTTTCCAATTCACAGATGATTATTGTTACGCAAGGACCGAGTGACTGGCTGGCTGAATAAACTAAACTGAATAAATGAACCTTTCATATTCAAATCAGGCCATATTTATACATTTTCTATGCCACCACTAAACCAAACCACGATATAAAAATATAAAACCTGGTTTTTTAACCAACTCTCACTCTCCATCATTCCTGTATTTAATCATCATCATTATCATTGGGTAAATTTTTTTTTATCCCAAAACAAAAAAAAAACAGTGTGACCAGTGGAGAGTGTGATTAACGATGATGATGACCAGCGATGTTGGCTGGTGATATTTAATTTGTTTCGAGAGAAAGTCTCAAAATTAACAAGAACAACAAATTGAGAGAAAATGTTTTTAGTTTCAATTTACTTTTACTTTTGATTTGTAGTTTTTTTTATAAACCGACCGATATGACGATGTACTTTTCACCACAACCACCACTAACATGTTGATGTTAAAAATAAGAGTCATTTTCCGAAACAAACAAAAAGAGTGTCCCATTCATTTGAATATGATTTGTTGAATGTGGTTTTTTCTCATTTACTGATAAGCAATAATTATTTGAAAATTTCATTGAATTTTTTAAAATAAAAATGTAAAATTAAAAATATTAGATAATTGAAATTGAATGCGATTTTCGATTGCTAATCCAACCAAGGCTGAAATTGATGGTGGTTTAAACATCAAACGTTTTTATTTTCCAAAATTAAAAAAGCAAAAATTTAAATGTTCCGACCTAGATATGATGATGATGATAATTACCGTTTTTTGGCATCCAAATTTGGCATTTTTTCCCTTTCATTAAGAAAAGATGATATCAAAAAATTTTGTTTTTTTCCAAAAAATGCAAAGAAATGAAAATTTGTTTCTTCCACTCAGATGTCATTGATCGAATGAATGAAAATGGCCAATGTCCCCTCTTTCGATGGATGGATGTGATTATCGTTTTGAAGATGTTCCCATACGAAATACAGGAGGTGATAAATTGGAATATATATTGTGCTGCAACAACAAGGGTGATTAATTATGTTGCATTTCTTTTTAATCAGATTAATGCACTGATGGAAGATGATGAAGATCGATGCCAGTTTTGCGTGTGATTTGCTAAACCAACACAGTTGTGGTATATTAATAGAGCATCATCAACCAGTTTGCCAGATAATATTTGGTCCAATATCGGTGGAATCATGCATAATCGATTTGAATATGGATATGAAATCGAAAGCAAAATGAAAATCAAGCAAAAACGATATGGTTATGGGAAATACATTGATGAAAAAATGACTAAATAATTTGACTAAACCTAAATAAATTTCGAAGAGAAAGTGAACCCAATTTTTCAATTAAAAAAATCAATTATCAGTTTATCTTGATAATGGTAACTTGTTTTAAAGGCCTTGGTCAATGGTGTCACAATTTATTATTATAATACATGTTTAGCATTATCCACATCATCAGCAATATTTCTATTTTTATATTATCATTTTCGATAATTAAATGTATAAACAAAACAAGATGATCGATCGATCGATTCGATTGGCGAATCCATTCATTTGATTAATAATGATGATGATAAGTATCAAAGAAGGCTATTTCGACTTGTTGTGGTTGTGATTGTGATTGTTGTATTGGATCATTATAATGATATTGTTGTTGTTCGGGTTGTTGTTGTTGTGGTTGATAATTTTGCATTGCAAATGCTGTTGACCATGTTGTCGGTATAATTAGATCTTGTGGTTTCAATTGTGACATTTGTTGATAATTTTCTAATGTTAATTTTGGATAACTAATCGACGTTGATATTGATGATGACGATGGACTCAATGTTGGTAGATATTGATTTTCTCTCGTCCACATTTGTTGTTGTCTTGGATCATTTTCATAACCAGCATAATGATTTTTATTGATAATGGATGGTTCCATGATAACCTGATCGGTTAAACTTGCCAATAATAAGGGTTCGTATAGAAAATTGGATAGATCTTGTGCAACAATCATGTGTTGAATTGCTTTAAGCGTTTCGCCATTTGGCTGTTGTTGATTGATAGCATTATTACCATGATTAATCAATCTTGGCTGTTGATTTGAATTGATCGGAACAGGAATGATCTCTGGTATGATCAATAGAGGAACTATTTCCTGTATTGAAGCTGGTATTGTAGTTGTTGGTTTTTTGATGGATGGCGATAATGGTTCAATTAGTTGATAGCCACCAATCGATGATTTGGATGAATCATTTTCGATCAACAAACTTGTCGAACCAATCGAATTAGCCATCAATGAATGATCTTGTTTGTGTGATATTGATAATGGCGAGGAACTTGAACGAAACACTAATGATATTGGTTTACGATCCTGTGAATTGGTGGTTGGTAGTTCAATCTGTGGTTGCTGATCATCGTTTAGATTGAAAAATTCATCCAAACCAAATTTGATACGATGTTTTTTAGTGGAATTGATTGGTACTTTCAATTTTAGTTGTCGATAACGATTCAATTTGATTGCCTTTGCTGGTGATATCAATTGGGATGGTGTTGGTGTGGATGATGACTGTTGTTGTTGTTTATCGTTGGAATTCGATTCAATGGGAGCCATATTGATATATGGCAGCAATATTATCACCATTATTATTAATGTTGAACATGATAACCTCGTAATAATCATTTTCACCGATGATGATGATGATGATGATGACATTTTTGGTTTTTTACCAGCAAAATCAATCTATTTGGTTAACAATGAAACAAAACAGAACAAAAATCAATAACAAATGAACGACGACAACAGCATTTACAAATTTGAATATCTTGTTTGTGCAACTAAAAACACAATCCGTTTTATATTCGAATAATCAACTAATATGGGAATGTTTTTTGGCGAGTTATAGAGATTTCGTCTATTTTATCCGATCGGAAATAAAACAACAACAGAAAAAATAAGAAAAATCTGGAGCAAAAAATCGATTGATTAGCCAAGGAAAAATGCAATGTTTGTGAGCGATGGACGAATATAATATATCCTAACAACAACAACAGTGATGACGACGGAACAAAAATCGTTCCAAAAACCGTTCCAAAGAGTAATTTTTGTTGTTGATTTATCTGACCGTTGATATGGGAGAAAAAAATCATGGGTGGATTTCTCTGATTATATTTGCTGATGATGATGGTCAGTTTTTGTTTATGTTATATTATTATTACCATGCAAGTTTGTTACCCGACCGTCATTTTTTGCTGGATGTAAAGATCATTATTTTTTGTTGTTTTTTCTTTTTCTTCCCAAACGAATATGACTCTTTTTTTCCTGTTCGATAGTATCGATACTATGTTCATTTCGAATGAAATTGTTTTTTTATTTTTCCTATGACCTGTACGGGTATAATTTTTTATATTTTGTTTTTATTTTTTGATTTGATTGTGTGATCCAAAAGAGCTTGTTTTTCCCATATGATAATCATCACGGTGCAATTAAATTTGTTTGGCGTTTGACCACCTACATTAATTTAGTTTTTAAAAATCAATGTTTGCTGAATCTGACAACAAAAAATAAAATGAAAAATTCGCTTGATATTGTTCATTGATCATCATTCAATGTTATTCAATCGGATCGGAAGTGATTACTGTATGGTCATCATTGGAGTGATTATTATTGTTTTTTTAGTGAAATTAACCATCCAAATGGGTGACAATGTGTCATTTGGTTTGATTGTGACAAAAATCTCTTGAAACATTGGATAATGATAATGGAATTAAAATGATGATCATCATCATTAACCAAATAGGAAACGACCATTGCAAACAAATAATCAAAACAATCTCGCACTTATACGGACAACAAAACAGGGTTTCCTTCAAGCACAAATCAAACAAAGATAAAGAAATGTTTTTCTTTCATTTCCTCGAATGAATTAAGAAATGAAACATAATAAACCGTATTACAACTTGAACGATACAACTTTCCATTGATTATTCACTATGATTAAAATGGACAATTTTTTGCCGTTGTTACTCTTTTTGCCATTGCCCTCAATCCAGAGAGATATATAGAGCAAATGGCTTTAGTTTGTATTAATTTTGTTTCCATTACTTATTGAATCGGAAATCAATATCTTTTATAGTCAACAAAAATTCAATCAACATTTTGTCAATGCAAAACCCAAAGAAATTATCAATTGTTCCAATGACAGCAGATCATGTTGTCCAAAGGTTTTTTCCAATCAAAAAAATAATATTGAAATTCGAAACAATTACCATTATGATTGAAAAAATGTTTTAAAGGTTTGGTATTCGAATCATAATTATATAGGATTTTATTATGACAGATATTAAAACAAGTTAGTCAATTCAATTCATTCATACACGGCATCTGTATTATGATTGATGATTGATTTTTTCAATTTCGTTTTCATGTTTTTATTCAATCGGTATTATAAGGAGAAAAGAGCATATTAATGTGCATAATATAGGAGTATATAAATGATATTAAAGTGATTATTACAAAATTAGAGATTGAGATCGACAATTGGCGAAATTTTTCTAAAAAAATAGTAGCTTGGTTTTTTGGCAGACAAACAAACATGATTAGATTGACATGTTAATGAAGTGTTAATTGTAATGTTGCTTGGTGGTGTGGTTGACAGTTTGAATGGTTTTGTTTTGCAAATAATGCATTTGACTAGATGATGTTCATTGTTTTTGGTTATAAATTGTCAGCATTATCCTTATTATCGTCATTACTATCATTTTGATTATTGATTGTTAATTGGCCCAGATCATCGCCAATACCTGCATCACTTGATGCTTGACGAGAATGCAATATATTTGATGATGATGATGATGATTGTGGGGAATCTCGATCCGAATTGACCGGTGATGATAATGTTGTTGGTGAACTTGTTTCTGCTGATGATGTTGTTGAGGATGAAGATGGCGATGGCATTTGCTGTTTGTTTTCATCCACTTTATTAGCAGGTGATGATTGTGGTGATGATACATCAGTCATTTGTGTCGATGTTGTCATAGCACCAAAGGAATCATCCTGTTGTAATGATGGCTGTTGATATTGTTGATTGGTTTCATGTTGAATATCAAACAATCTTTTCAGTGAATATGATGTTGGCTCAACATATTTGAATGGGAAATAACCTAAACGATCATCAATCTGCCCTTTCCACCAGCCTTTATCTTCGGCTGCACGTGATAGAACAGTGATATGATCACCTTTACGCAATGATAGAAATGATGATGCGGCTGATGATGTGCCAGTGAATGCATATAATGCAATAGCATCACCCAATATTTCATTGCAATAGGCTTTTTTATATGGTAACAAAAGTTTAGTATTGACCATATTAAATGATTCGGCCAAGGAATTCAATTCATACCATCGAATCAGGTCGACAATGGTACGAAAATATCGTCGTTCGGAAAGATAAAAATGAGTCGGTTTATCTGGTGGTTGAAGATTATGCTGCTGTGGTTGTTGTTGATTAGTTTGTGCATTCGAATCTAAAATTGTTGGCTGAATACCATTCATATATGTCACTTGAACGCGCATATGATTAACAAGACCTTTATAATTAATGCTAATAGCATAGCTATTCTTTTGTTTGGGCGATATTCGTACCAAAAATGATCCATTCGGCAGTGGATTCAATGTAGTTTGTGCTGTATCACGATCCATGGAACCGGCAAACCAAGCATATTCTTCAAGATTATAACCATTACCGAAAAAGAGCCTTAAATTGCCATCTTGTATCATTGCTGGATTCATTGATGATGACGATTGATTAGTTTTCATTATTGATTTATTATCGTTGGCAAAGAAAATGTCCTCTTTATTCAATGCAGGTGTCGATACAGCTAACGGTGATGTTGGCATTATCCAATTGGATTGATGCAATTTTCTTGGCAGTGTTTGAGTCATCGATGTCGTCGAATCATTTGATTGATGATGATGTTGTTGTTGTTGAACAGTCTGATCATCATAACAGAATCGAAACACCGATGAACATGTTGGGGAATCAATATTGGATGATGATGCATTGGACGGTGAATCAGCCATCAATTCGGTTATACAGGCATTTGGAAAAGAACCTTCTTCACTGAGACGAAGATTAAGACCATAACTAAATGGTCCATTTGTTGAATAAACAACTATTGTATCATTGGGTTCCATTGGTAATTGTCCATCAACATAATGTGCAGAAATAGCTTTGGCAAGAATTCTTTGTTTGTTTTTGGATGGTGTCGGCGGTTCAGCACGATTCGAATTGACCGAATGATGATGATGGTCATGCTTATTATCGTTTGATGGTGATGATTGATTGGCATCGATAGATGATTGTCGTTGATGCATCATCTGTGCACAGGAACGTACCGTTGTGATACATGTTTTATGCAGAGCAATATTACAAACATAACATTGATATGCTTGAAACCAGGTTCCTTTTAAAAGTTTATGACAACTAGCACAACAGGTTGCAGGTGCAACTGTAGCCAGTGCTAAATGATGATCAGTTTGATTCAGTTGTTTGGGTCGAACATTATCCTGTGCACGTTCGATTGCTTCGATCCATTTTCGTTTGATTTCTTCATTTTTAACAAAAAATGTATAAGGTTGTTTTGTACGACAATGTACCAATGACCAACCGGATGACCAATTTTTTGTCAATTTTGAAATCGGGCTACAAGTCGACATATCTTCCAGCTATAATGACATTTTTCAATGAAACAAAACAAAAATAACATTCGATTATAAGAGGATTAATCATAAAAACATTAATGAAGCAAAACATTATGACAAATTGCAATGCAATGCCAAAATCAATTAGATTTTTGTTAATTAAAAAATGCGTGCTTACCTTGTATTCTTCGAGTACGATTGCCTCTTTATATGAATATTGAAGGCTGCGAATAGTTTTACACATCAACATTACTTTATCGAATACAAATATATATCGATTCTTTAACCGTGTTGTCATTCGATTATTATAGCTACAATTACCATGAACAACATTAATACCATTATCGTTATCTTGAGTGGATGGTCCACGCATTCGTACTTCACCATCTTTAATCAATCGGCCATAATCTTTAAGTTGATAATCATCGGGCATGGATAAATCGATAATTGATCGTTGAACATCATTAATGATTTCTAATGTTTCGGTATCACGTTTCATTTCATTGATATAGGCGCCAATATCGAGCATCATATCATAGGCATGCCGTAGGCCTTCAAAATCTTCATGTTGATCACTAGTATTACGGATTAATTCGCCTAACAACAGATGATATTTGAGTATTCGTTGCATCGGTAAACTAAGTAGATCCCGAAGTTTAAATCTTCCTTGGTTAGCTTCCTGTTGACATTGGCCAACCCAATGTTCGATAACCGGATCCTGGCCACATAATTCATCCAATAATTGTTGAGCTTTTGGAAGATTCGAACAATATTGGCCATAATTTAGAAATCGATCTCGTATTGAAAGAAAACATGATGAAATTGTACCGGTTCGATGCATCTGTATTGGATGAGCAGATGATGATGATAATGATGATGATGTGGAACAGGTGGACACACTTGGCGAACTACAATTGGATGGATATGCCGGTATATTATTATTACTGTTATTGTTAATGGATCTTGGATATTGACCACCATTATGATTAGTACGATATAAATCTTGATACAATTTCCAATGTAATTCGGATAATGATTGTAAATTTGAAAATATAACGTTACGGTGTTTAACAGGCACAATTCGTATTAATGGTTGACAAAAATGATCGATTATCATCTGTAATGCTTCACAATAGTTTTTCTCAGTTTCTATCAATTCTTTTAAACAGTAATCACGTTTCGATTGGATTGACGAATTGGATGATTGATAATTCAAATTATGGATAGCCGTATTATTGGAATCACGATTATTACTATTATTATTATTATTGTTGGATCTAATTTTGAATGAAAATTAAATTCAAATATGATTCAAATATTCGAATTGAAGTTTACCTGAGGGTTACATAGCAAAGATCTTCATAAACATCTTCTTCATGTGACCGTTTGGATGATGATAATTCCATTAATTGTTCTTGTTGTTGTCGATGTCGAAGAAACCAACCTTGTTGTTGTTGTTGCTGCTGTTGGCTGTATTGATATTGATCATCCATTCGATTTTGATTCGAGTGGCAATTTGTACGAAAAAATGGACTCGTAGGTGTCGTTGATGGTGATGCAGCAACATTTGTGGAAACAATTGCCATACTTGGTGATAATGATTGAATATGGTTCAATGGTGATGAATGTTCGGCCACCATCATGTCATTTGTTGTGGTGGATGGTGAGGATCGGTTGAGATCAACAACTATAAATGAAGAAAAACAAAATTCCAATTTAAATGTCTAATCTAAGAATAAAGAAACAACATCCATTGGCAACATCTAAAAAACGAATGATCTTAGAGTCCCTTTCTCCAGGTCCAAGTTTTTTTGTCTGTCCAACTACTTCACTTATTGATAACCAATTCAATCTTTTTCTTTTTGGTTGACCTTTTGTCTAGGTGCAAGTTTCTTATATTTCAATTTAAGCACAAAGTGCACAGTACGAAAAGAAGAAAAAATCGTCGTCCACCATTGGCGACATTTTGGCCAATGTCTTTCTCTCTCTCTCTCACTCACTTGCTTGCCATCTCCCTGTGTGAACACTGCAGTAAAATGCAGAGTATCGGGGTTGTAGAGCACCACCATCAAAAAAAAGCAAGCAGCAGCAAGGACATTCATTCAATTGCAATTCAAAATACCCCAAATATATCGGCGGTGTATGATAATGATGATGATGAAAATGGTGTGAGAAAAAAATTCACAAACAAAAACCAGTCCAAAAGGGGGAGTATGGTTGGCTGGTGTTTGTGAGAGAGAATGTATACGGTCCGGGGAAAAGAAATGGGACTGGGGATTGTGGATCAATTTTTATTTAAAAAAAGAAAGATATTTTGATGATGAGAAAGACCTTTGACCCATGACCTCGACAGTAGAAATAATATTTTGTAAAAACGGGGAGTTCTCTCTCTCTCACTTATTAGCTGTTTTGGTTTAGACTATTCGATTTGGACATGATGATACTATCATTTTATCGACAAACAAGATGAATATTATTTTTTGATTTAAGAGAATTGATCAATAGAATTGCTTATGTTTCATTGCAAAACGACAAAAATAACTTGAAAGATAGAATCGATTGAACATATTTTCACTTGGATCAAAAAACAAATTTTTTGCAAAAACTTACAATTTGTAGCTGGCATAAGATGTTTTGGTTGTTCACTGGTCATAATTCATTCAAATGAAGAATTTTTAGGACAAAAAACAAACAAAAATTGAACACATCCAAATCCAAATAAAGGTGTTTTCTTTTCAATAATGATAATGAGGATGACAGAAACAAATTTAAATTTCTTCAAAGCAAAAAAGTATTGACATCTTTTTTCTTAATTTGGATTAGTTTTCGATTCAGAAAAAATGTCGTTGGCAGTCGAATCAAAACAAACAATTTTATTTGGCGAGTGAATGGGTCAAGGTGTGTGTGATAAGTTTGCAGAGACAACATTCGAATACTAAAAGATCGAGTCCATTCCATTCGAAGTTTTTTTCGAATCAAACAAGTTGTTGTCGAGCTTACGCGTTCAACAAGTGTGTGCGCGCTTCAACATTCTTTACGTTGTTCGCCTTACGTTCTCACATAATACATGGTTATGGCTATATGGCGGTTATGGCCATAATTGAACGCTTGTTGTGCTTATGCTGCTGTTCGAATAACATTCGATTGTTCATTCGAAAACGAAAATAATTTTTTTGTGGTCAGTTTTGACCGCGAACAAAATTGATTGAACAAAATAACAAATGGATATTTCTGATATCCGTTTTGACCCTATTTTGTTTGTTTGTTTTTGTCGATATTTTTTTTTTAAATCGATCCAATTAAAATTTATTTGTTTTGTTTTTGGAAAATAATATTCAAATTCATTATGTAACGTTGTATTTGAATGGACATTTGGAATCCCCCAAAACATCAAAACATCATTCATGATGAGAATCGAAAAAACGTGGAATTTTATTGATTTGGTCATATTATTGATTGAATTTTTTGTGACATTTTTTAATTTGGTTTTTATTTGATCGAAATGGGTCGAAAGAAAAAAGAGGAATCAACATTGGACAACATAGTCGCCAAAGCTGATGAATATCGTTGTTCGTTATGTGGATTTGTGGCAAGAAAAGTAAATGACTGTGATCATCATATACTTGTCGAACATCAAGGCCAGGTTCGATACATGAAATTTGAATTTATTTTTTATTTTTTTTCTCGCACACACATTTTAGGCATTAATCAATGAAGATAGACCGATGAACGATATAGAAATCAGACAAGGGTATCGTCGAGCGTTAACTGTGCTCAAACAACTTCGATGTCCGATATGTTCGAAAACCTTTCGAAGTTTTTTAGGAATGGTATTCCATGCTCAAATATGTGGTAAATCGGTATGTTGACCGAAATTGATGATTATAATACCCATTTTCGAATCTAATTCATTATTTGCATATCAAAACAAAAAGACGGATCAACTTTTTCGTGAATGTGAAATATGTGGTAAACGTTTGAAAATACATTCGTTAGCTATCCATTTACGTTCGATTCATTCTACCGCTGATCCATCAATTGACGAAAATGATAATAACGATGATAATGGTGATGATATCGAAACGATTAAAGATATTTCAAACAACCGAGGGAAAAAACGAAATTCCGCTTTAAAGTGAGTGTCATCTATTTCTATTTTTGTTAATTTTGAAAACATTTTTCAAATAATTACAAAGAGCAATCAAAAAATTTCGATCACTCGAACTAGCTGATGACGAGGATGAGGATGATAGAAAAAAATCCAAGAAAACACGGCTAAAAAACAATGATGACGAAGATTTTTCGGCAAAATCTTCAGCAGATGAAAATGATGATGAATTGGAAGTGGGAATAAATTTAATTAATAAAATTGAACCAAAAACAACAAAAACCTTAAATGATAAAGATTTGGAACATATCATTTCTCTCATTGTTCATCATATAATCCGAGAAGATGGCAGTAATGATGATGAGAATGGTAATCAAAAAATCGAAAAAACAATCAGCAAAACTGTTGCTGTCAATCCAAAGGGTCTATATTCATGTTATAATTCAATGTGTCCAACACAATTCAAATATCGTTTCGAACTGGAAAATCATTATCGTCGTTGTCGTTGGCGAAAATTTTGGTTTCAGTGTTCATTGAATGAATGTCAACAGCAACAACGAGAACGTTCACGAAATCGTTTCAATTGGCTTGATACCAGTGTTGTTGAACACTTTTTCCATTATCATGATGTATGTTTTGGAATTGAATTGTTCATTGTTTTATTTTTATTTTCCACAGGAATTATTCGACGATGAATTGAAAGAACAATTCGATATTTTTGTGACGAAAAAACAAATATCAAATCAGATTGTTCAATCGGGTTCAGGTTCACGAACACCACATTATTTGGAACAACTTCTTGAATGGCATAAACAAACGACAATATCATTATCTAATGATGAAATATTGTTTTCAAATATGTTACCAAAGCCAGATGATTATCGTATAATTAATCGAAATTTTTCCATTCATCAAAATTGTCACACAGCAACCAATTTCAAATCGACAATTTCGATGGATTCAGGTGATAATCAGATGAAACATTTATCAACATTTGAATCGATTCGTTTGGATGATAATAATTCAATGTTTAATGTGGGCAATTGTGTTTCAGCTATTGCCTGGTGTCCAATACCATTCACTATCGAATCAACTGGTTTCGATTGTCGAAGCCAATTTGATCAGATATTGATGACCGAAATGAAGGCACAACGTGATCAATATCTAATATTAGCTACCTCGAATTTTGATGAATTGCTTCAAAATGAACGACCTGATCAAATTTGTCTGCAATTGTGGAATGTTGGCCCATTGAATTCAGTGAAAAATGCGACAACCGAAGAATGCAACATGCAACAAGCTCGTTTAGCATTGAATATTGATTGGACATCATACGGTGATGTACTTGAAATTTGTTGGTGTCCATGGGGTGTTTCCTATGAACAGCAACCACAACAACAACCACAATCATCACGATTAAAAAGGTTAGGGTTAGTTGCAATCGCCAGTGAAGATGGTCACATCCGAATCTTATCGATACCACATCCTAATCAATTGGACGGTAGTTATAATATAAATTATCTGTTGCAAGTTGAGCCTATACTCGTGCTGCAGGATCGATTTCCTCGTTATCTCAATTGTAATAGTATTGATTGGTATCCATTTGCGCCATATAATATGATTGTTGGTGCATTCAATACTGGAGTTTCATGTCTTTGGCGATTGCCTGTTGACGATGAGCAACCAATTGCCGAAAATAAACGTCTATTACCATATGATGAGAATGGTAATCTGAAATGTCAGCCATTATTATCGATTCAATGGCTAAATCGAGATATGTATGTTTGTTCATCGTTGAATCATTCGTTCATCTATCATATCCATTGGGATGGATTATATCGCCAGATTGAATGTCGTCCATGTCAGAAAATTCTAGTTTATCAGCCATTATGGACTAAACATATGATACAAATGGCAATGGTACGAAAAGGTAGTCTTATCGGATTCTATTTGCTGGATATTCCTGTCGATAGTGGTCAGGATAATCGTCATACGATCATATCGAATGCAGACGATAATTATACGGTTGGTATTCTATTTTGATTTATTGAAATGAATTATTGTTTTTTTTTGTTGAAAAATAGGACATGTCATTATCACCATGGATGTATTTGATTGCATATGCATCAGAATCGGGTAAATTATTTACCACAAAAATGCTGAAGAAACCGGGATGTTCGAAAAATGTGAAATCTGGCAATTATGTAATATTTACCTGTTAATGAGTAATGTTGTCTTATCACTAACATTTCATATGATTTTAGATCTTATATGCCACCAAATTGGCAAATATGGATCTAGATCGACAAAACAACTCACAAGAATCATCATCGATAAAAAAATGCGTGATGATAAACGAATGTTTGGATCTTAATCACCAGATGGATGATTTTTTTGATAAATATTTTTTCATCTATGAAGATTGTCAAAAACCTGATGCAATTTTACAGGGCCGTACTGCATCGTCAAATGTTCGATTGTTGACGAAAAATGATCTTTATCGATATTATGCAATCAACAAGGTAATCTCAATCAAATCGAAATTTATCAAATTTTTAATTTGTTCCCCTGTTAAAAGTGTTGCTGGAATCCAAACCTTTCATCCTATTCATGGATTTTTTCATCCAACAAATCGGGTCTATGTCGTTTGAATAGATATCCATTGATCAATCCTAAACAAATGTATTGAACTATTTATCTGTGATATTTTTTATCAAAAATTTTTTTTTATTAATTTTTTTTTTAAATTAATCAATTGAAATTGTAAATAAATGTTGATGAGAATCGTTTTTTGGTAACAGTTTTTGTCGAAAAAGTTGAGCATGTTGCCATGCTATTTCACCTTCGCCAAACATTAGTTTTGCTTGAATGTCAAAGCATTCGGTTGCTGGATGCAATTCATTTCGATTCAAATGAAACGTTTCGTTTAGATTGAATGATAATTGTGTTTTGCATGGTTCCAATATAATGCAAAGTTCGATGACACCGGATTCATATGTTCGACCCTGGACTAGAATGCTGATTCGGTTCCATTCAATGCTGTGATTGGATGGTAATCGAAATCGCCATCGTATAGAACCGATATCCTTTTGGCCACAATATCTTTGTCGACTCAGGTAACACATTTGCCAATCATGTTCTATCATACGAAAGATATGGCAAGATTCATAGCAGCCGGATTGCCATCCTTTCATTATTGTCGATTTCTTTTTCGAATCCGAATAAACAACCGAATATTCATCACGTTGACAATCGTACAGGATTTGACGGCAAAGTTGATTCAAATCAAATTCATGATAACAATGTTTTGATTCACCACGTGATTGTCTCCATTCGATTGATCCGCTGATACGACCTTGAATAGCTTTTGAATCGGATGGTTGACGAATATCTTGATCAGGTGTTCGTATCAATTCAACCATTTCACCCAGCCAGCGTTCAACAATTCCATTATATTCACTAGATGAAAGTTTTGATTGCAGTCGACGATTAATTTGGTCGATCAATGTTTGTAAACGATTTTCATCGAATAATTGGCTACGGAGGCGAACAGTTTTACGCCATTCCGAACAATAACGCCATGTGACATCACGACATTCATACATTCCATTTGCAATGATCAATGTAGCTGGTTTTTTCCATCCACATTCATATAATAAGGGATTGTCGAATGAGTTTTCACATGGATCACAATGTAGCCATCGTTTTTGATGATCACTATATATTTCCGTCCAAACGTGATCATCAACATGATTCACCATACGAATATCGTAGCCAAAAACAAAACAAATATATGCAAAACAAAGTGCCCATTCACCACAACGACCACGTCGGGTTTCCAATAAACGACCGGCATGATTATAACGAGGAAATTCATGAATTGCGCTGCATTCAGGACATTTATACACTTCAATCATTTGACAATAGTATTCACTGTCATTCGTACGACGACAATTCAAAAGCGTACATTCTTTTCCATTACAATCATCACATTTCAATGAATTTACCCAGCTAAACAATTCTTGTTTAAAATATTCCAGTAATCTTATCAGACAATAATCACGACGATCCATTTGGTTGCCATCATCATCATCATTATTAGGTAGATGCTCAAAATCTTCATTAAAACGTTTCCAAGGAATCAATTGATGAACAGTTTGTCGGTATCGATCATCATATTGACCAAAATGACGTATATAATTATGATCGGTTATGATGGAATAGTATCGATTATAATCGATGGGCGGCATTTTTAGTATTAAAAAAATGTTTAAAAAAAGATTAGTTGATCGTAAATACGCGTTGGCTTGGTTTCCTTGTGACAAAAACCCAAACAATAATCAAAAATATTAACCAGTTTAGTCATAAAAAATGATGACAACACCAGATTATCGGCATAGATTCAGAGTACGTATTTTAAAGGCAAGTCGTATGATTTGTTGCTGACCGAAAAAATCCTTGAATCATTGTTGAAATTGTTAAACAAAATTCATTAATTATTCAGTTATGTCCATGTTTTGTTGTTGTTGATTTTCCACGAAAAAAGATTTACATACTGCTGATTCATTCATTACAATTTTATTATTTTAATGTCAACTCAAACAATTGAATTGTTGAATCGAAAAAAACATAAACACAAATAATCGCCAACTATCGATTAATTCGTTCATCATATGATGATGATGATAATCAGTTTAAAAATATAAATTCAAAAAAATATCAAGTGTGAAGAGCATTTTGAAAAAATGTCATTTGTTGTTCAAAGGAATGATCATTCCATTATTGATTGATGGTTTTCTCACATTCATTTAAATCTCACCAATCGTATGACAAATTTTTTCTCACTCTCTCTTTTCTGTCATGATCATCATTAATACACTTCATCGCCATCACCGGTAAATTTACCGATCAAATAACCACTAAATGTCAATTTTTTCTCTGCTTGAAAAAAATTAATGAGAAAGCCGGAGCTGATGATGTTTGTTTGACATTTACCCATATTCGAAAGAAATTGTGAACACGTCATTTTGCATTTGATGTCAGTTTCCTTCTAATCAAATCTTTTAGCAAAAAATCAAATGATCATTCGATTTTCAAGTACAGCAGCAAAAGCCACGATTTTCCAAAAAAAAACCTATCAACTCTGTATGAATTGAATTTATAAAAAAATCATCATTTTAAATAGAAAAAAATAGCAGAAGAAAAAATCATCACCGATTGTGGAGAGGAAATCCTTGGTTCTGCCAGTTCAACAACCACTATTTAAATGAGTTGAATGTTTAGCATTCGGTTGGTTTTTTGTTACTCTATTTTCAAAATTGATTAATCATGATATTTTATGCTGAAAGTGAAAAAAGACTAATTTGAATAATCTATTTACTTGGTTTTGCTTTTAGATTTGTTCGTCAGTAAAGTGATTTGCTCAAATAAATAAATAAATAAATAATATAATATCTACTAATCAACTAATCAACAATTAATAATGACAATCGATTCGGATAGAAATAATGGTGATGGGATAAGTAAAAATAAAATATCAGCAACAAATATATTGATAATTGTCATCGATATAATTGTTACATTGTACACTTATCTGACATTACCCATTTATGTGTGGTGGCAGAATCCAAAACAAACATTGCATAAATCGGAACGAATTCGTTCGAAAAAAATCGATGCCAACGATATTGATTCGCCTTGGGTTGGCATTCATGACGAAGATTCTATATTGAATTGCACATTCATCAATGATAGCGATTGTCAGACATTGAACGATTTTATAGAAAAACATTATCAATATTTTCCAAATGAAAATCCCGTTATCGGTTATCGTCATGTTTACTATGAATACCTTGAAGATGACAAAGATGGACGCAAAATAAAGAAACGTAAGCTATCGGATCATTATCAATGGATTAATTTTCGACAAATATACGATCGTATCACTAACATTGCTCACGGTCTTCGGCTTTCCGGTATTGAGCGTAATGAGCCGGTGGTTATTCTCTGCGAAACCTGTGCCGAATTTCTTTTGATGCAATTTGCAATAGCACGTGCCGGTTTGGTTCAGGTGAATGTTTATGCAACATTGGGTGAATCCGGTATTGCACATGCCATCCGGGAAACCAAAGCACGTTATATGTTTACATCATGGGATCTATTGCCTAAAGTTCGTGCAACCATAGCTAATCAGAAAATAAATATCGACAAAATTATCTATCTTCGTCGTCGAGCGTTGAAAGTATCGTCCGAAATCCTGGAAAACGAAAAAGATTACACCAAACCAATCGGTCAAATGGATATGATTCCATTCGATCGAATCGAATTGATGGGTCAATGTCATTTGGATCGAATCAAATCAGGTGATGATGAAGAACAACTATGTAAACCACTAGATAAAGATGATATTTCGCTAATCGGTAAGTTTAACCAAAATGAAAAAGAATAATGTCTATTAAAGTATTTTCTATTGAAATAGTATTCACATCAGGTAGTACGGGAATACCGAAAGGTGTACAATTGACATCTGCGCAAGTGATAAAAAGTATCCCCACAGCATTATCTGCTGTACCGGAATTGGTTGTGGATGGTAGTAACCATATATTGGCCAGTTTTTTGCCACAAGCACATATATTCGAAGCCATAGTGGAACTGACTTTATTGGCATTTGGTGGACGTATTGGTTTCGCTAATCCTTTGACATTGGTTGATGGTGCGCCCGGTCTTTCGCCGGATAGTCGATCGGATCTATCGATATTACGGCCAACAATAATGATGGTTGCCCCATTAGTTTTGAAAAGAGTTCAAGCACAAATCTATAAAAAATTGGAAGCAAGATCATCCATACATGTTGCTTTATTCGATTATCTGATCAATTATAAATTACGTTGGACGCATAAAGGTTCGTTGACTTGCCAACAAAACTTAACCACTTATTGAATCGATTACTTGAATCTGATTGATTGCGTTAATCTTTTTGTTGCTAGGTTATACGACACCATTATTGAATGGATTAATATGTTGCAAAATACGTGAACTATTCGGTGGGAATCTAGCCAAAGTGATTGCAGGTGGTGCACCATTGTCACCGCGATTGCAGGCATTTTGTCGAATGGCCATGGATACCAATCTAGTACAAGGTTATGGCATGACCGAGACTTGTGGTCCAGTATTATGCATGGATCAATATGATCTATCATATGGCCGTAGTGGACCACCATTACTGAATATTTATGCCAAATTGGATGATTGGACCGAAGGTGGATATCGACGGACAGATTTTCCATGTCCACGTGGTGAATTATTGATAGGTTCGAAAACTCATTGGAATGGTTATCTGAATCTGGCCGAGGCTAGCCAAGATGGCTATGTAAAGGATGACAAGAATGGTATACATTATGTACGTACCGGTGATATTGTTCAAGTACACTCGGATGGAACCTTCGAAATAATAGACCGAAAAAAAGATTTAGTCAAATTGGCTAACGGGGAGTATGTATCATTGGGCAAGATTGAGTCGACGTTGAAGAATTGTAATTATATTGATCATATCTGTGTTTTCGGTAATGGATTTGCCAATCATCTAGTCGGGTTAATTGTGCCAAACAAGGAAAAATTGAATTCACTTGCATTGAACGGGACAAGATCGATGAAACGACTGAAGGAAATAATTGGCAAATTGATGCAAGAAACTGGCTTAAAATGTGGCCTTAAATCGGTCGAAATACCAGTGCAGATTGAAATTGTGATGGATGAGTGGACACCGGACAATGAAATGTTGACGGCGGCAATGAAATTGAAACGTAATGCTATCAAAAAGCGTTATCAAAATGTTATAACAGATATGTTCAGCAGTAATGCCAATGATTCACACGGCAGATGATTCAATGAATAGGCATTGAATTGAATGAATATTCTATCTAATCTGTTTTTATTGTCTAATATCTCTTTTCAAAATGAACAAATAAATTTATTTCACAACAATGTTTTCGATTAGTTGTTCAGAAAGTGGGTAAACCCATATCCCGTTTTCCATTGGAATATAATACGGCAGCATAGACGCAGCCAGCGATTGTCATACCAATTTCCACTTCAATAGCATGATTTCTATAATAAAAGCCACCATACCAGCCTTTAAAATGTGTGAGTGCCCATAATCCTGCCCAAGCTGCTCCACATATGGCCGACATAAGGAAATGTTCTTTCCATGCACCGACCACGCCGCAACAACATCCTACTACAGCACATATTGCCCAGATAAGATCATTTCTTTCATAACTATATTGAATTAGCGACAATAATGTTAAACAACCAACTATAGCGGCAGCCGCACCAAATATATATCGGCAAATGGTCATCAAATCCATCCTTGCTTTCTTTTGTTGACTTTCGAGTTAAATTTAAAAATACAAAATCAATTCACAACACAATCTGATTTGATGATAAAGAAAATTGCTGTTGGAAATTGAAAATTCACTATAAATCAGCAAAAGCAGAGAAAGGAAATATTCAAATTGGAGAAAAAATGAACGTATTTTATTTTAGGGGGCAAACAACAATATTGAACGAAATGCAATTATAATGTTCGAAATGTTTCGATTGAATTATGTTGTTAACANTTGTTGCTTTCTTTTGTTGACTTTCGAGTTAAATTTAAAAATACAAAATCAATTCACAACACAATCTGATTTGATGATAAAGAAAATTGCTGTTGGAAATTGAAAATTCACTATAAATCAGACAATCGCACAAATCAGCAAAAGCAGAGAAAGGAAATATTCGAATCGATAAAAAATGAACGTATTTTATTTTAGGGGGCAAACAACAATATTGAATGAAATGCAATTATAATGTTCGAAATGTTTCGATTGAATTATGTTGTTAACATTTTGGCATATTCATCTCTTGATGGCCGCTAGCATGTAGCATATAGGCAAATATAGCGGATAGTATCATTGTTCCAATCATAAAATTATCATAGTAGAATGCATAGGAATATCCAATCAGATACAACACCAAGTGTATCAATATGAATAATATTGTAAATAGAAAATGTTCTTTCCAAACACCAATCAGACCGATCATCAGTGTAACGAATGCAAATATTAGCCATACGATTTCCGATACTACCAACGTACTAAAATGATCCAATAAAAACATTATCCGCAAGATTAACATTACTACGATAAGAATGCCAACCACAAGACGCACTATTGGATAAAGTAAACCAAAGTTACCGGCCATTTTTCTTTCAATCACTTGTCGTTTTCGCCAGGAATTAATAGTGTTTTGTTTTGTTTTTGCACACTATTTTTATTCAATTACAATTTCATTGTTATCAAGGGAAAAATTTTAGAAGAAAAATTCAAATTCAATCATAAATCCGGTAAGCCCATTTCTGATTGAATAATTGGAACGTAATGCAATCAAAATGTTATAACAGATATGATTCAATGAATAGGCATTGAATTGAATGAATATTCTATCTAATCTGTTTTTATTGTCTAATATCTCTTTTCAAAATGAACAAATCAATTTATTTCACAACAATCAATCGATATGGAAAGCAATGAGTCGATATTTTCGATTAGTTGTTCAGAAAGTGGGTAAACCCATATCCCGTTTTCCATTGGAATATAATACGGCAGCATAGACGCAGCTAGCGATTGTCATACCAATTTCCACTTGATCAGCATGATTTCTATAATAATAGCCACCAAAAATGCCATTAAAATGTGTGAGTGCCCATAATCCTGCCCAAGTTACTGCACATAAGGCTGACATAAGGAAATGTTCTTTCCATGCACCGACCACGCCGCAACAACATCCTAATACAGCACATATTGCCCAGATAAGATCATTTCTGCCATAATCATATTGAATTAGTGACAATAATGTCAAACAACCAACTATACCGGCAGCCGCACCAAATACATATCGGCAAACGGTCATCAAATCCATTGTTGCTTTCTTTTGTTGACTTTCGAGTTAAATTTAGTAAATACAAAATCAATTCACAACACAATCATATGAAATTGTTGTTCGAAATTGAAAATGGAAAATTCTCTACTTATCAGAAATCAGCAATAATATTCAAATTGGAGAAAAAATGAACGTATTTTATTTTGGGGGGCAAACAACAATATTGAACGAAATGCAATTATAATGTTCGAAATGTTTCGATTGAATTATGTTGTCAGCATTTTGGCATATTCATCTCTTGATGGCCACTAGCATATAGGCAAATTCAAATTGAATCATAAATCTGGTAAGCCCATTTCTTGATGGCCAGAAGTGTATAACATGAATGCAAACACTGCCGATAGGCCCACCATTGTCATTATCATACTTTCTGAACCGACATAACTACCCGACCAGATACCGACATTAATGCGTTCATAATTGGATAGCCATAGCATCGTAAGCGAACCGACACATAGTAAAAATATGGCAAAAAAATGTTCACGCCATACGCCAAGAAAACCGATGCCAAGCGAAACAATGGAAATGGCTAGCCAAACATAACCGTTAAGGCTATATGCGAAAATGCCATTATTGATGACCGATAATAGTACTGATATTAACATTACACCGATCACGATGCCCAATACAATGCGAACCAATACATAACATAATCCATACTTGTTGCCACTTGAAAATGGATTCAAACCCATCTTTTCTGTTAGAGAAAAGTTCAACAACAAAACAATATATTTTTCTTTCAGAAATGTTTCAATTCTTATTTTAAACCAAGATTCATTAATTTAATTTAGGAAATCAAAAAAAAACAAATATTTTTCATTTGGTTATTTGATTGGAAAAAGTTAATTGGATTGTTGTTTGATTGGTGTGGAGAAATGTCGATATGTTTTATATTACGAATGAGGTCTGACGTCGACCGGAATCATAAAGCATAAATGTATAGATTAATGAAACAATAACCAATAATAAAGCTGCTCCGGCCGATCCATAGAACAAGCCGACCCAAACTGAGATTGTACTCAATATAATCGATATGATAGTGAATATCAATGAATAAAGAAAATGTTCTTTTATCGCTCCAATCAAACCGATTATTATCGACACAAACGACACAACTGTCCAGACAATATGCGATAATTCTAATGATTTTAGTAGACCCACGACATTCAATACAACCATCAATGCTAAAAATATTAATAAGGAAACGCGAATTATTTGATAGCCAATACCGAATTGATTTGCCATCTTTCTTGCCTTCACAATCGATCAAAATTCAATTTAAATTTGGTTTGTTTTTGATTTTTTGCACATTCCATTCATTATTATATCGGAGGGAGATGGCGAAAGTTCAATTGTTGCTGTTGTTGTAGAATTTTTTCTCGAACAAAACATAATCAAATGAACAAGACGCCCACTTATTATTATTGAACCAAAATTGGATTTTGCGCCAAAGAATCCAAAGAAAAGAAAGATGACAATGATGATTGCCTATCCATCGGTACCAGGTCTCATTCGATTCTTGACGTTCGATAAAAGTGGATCGTACAAATTGTGTTGCTTTTCTTGCATATGTCAGCTACCGGTTTTCAAATAATGGCGTCATTGGCTTCCTCGGCAAATCGTTTGGAGAAAAAGTTTCCAATACGTAGCTATAGCGTTGAGGTAAGATTGTTTTCGATTATCAAATTATAATCCTTTTATTTTATCAAATAAAAATCATTTTTATCCATATCAAGTTCATCATCATCATCATATGAATAAATATTGTTTAGAAAATAACAATAGAAGTGTTAGTCATTCGCAAAAAATGAATAATAATAGGATTAACTTATGGCATTTCATTCAATTCTCCATTGATGGCCCAATTCTATTGTTGTCCGTGAAATGAAATGAAGACGAAAAGTTATTATAATACAATAGCCATACGTTGAAGAAAATCGAAACGGAAATCCGTCATTATCTGCTTTTTTTGTCCATTTAGGAGATTCTATTGTGATGATCATTCAATCAATCTATAATCAGATCAGTAGGCGAAAAAATGATGAATGGTGATCACAATGGGAAAAATCTTTTCTCGCTTGTTCAACATCATTATCATTCATTCGATTTTTCGAAAATACTAAATATTAATTGGGTAGATATAGCTGAAAGCATTTCAAAGTTGGTTGAAATAGTTGTTCACAGGAAAATTCCATTCACGATAAATAATTGGATCATCATTTGCTTTGACCTTCAAATTTTCAATAGAATAGTTCTGCTAATGACAATTATAATTGACTAATTCAACTAATTGATTGCTGTAGCAGTGATCACATCTGATTTTGTCAGCTAAACATTTGCATTGTTTTTTGTTGTTTATTTATGACTCAAATAGCATGGCTATCCATCACGACGACGATCATTGGTTGGTGATGCTAAATTCGAAACACAAAAAAATCGTGAAGCTAAACGATCGTGGATTGAGGAAAGTCGCAGCGAATCACAAGATTTCGATCTTTCCGAAGAAGAAGTTATCGTAGCGGAAGAAAGCCGACAGAAAGAAGTTGAAGATGATTCACTGAAAAGAAAAAATCTGATCATTACATTGCCGGCTAATAATGGTTTGGATAATTTGCCCAGAATATTACGACTGATGCAGGTCACAAAAGCAACTATCGAGCATATTGAAAGTCGTCAGAATGCAAACGATGGCAAATGCTTTGATATATTCATGTCGGTAATGATAACACCGACTAATTTGTTGACATTTATGAAATCTGTACGTCAGTCTGGACTCGGTGAAGTATCATTATTGCGTGAAAAACTCATATCGGTGAAGGATCCATGGTTTCCCCGGCATATAAGTGATTTGGATTTTTGTACACACATTATGACCAAATATGAGCCAGAATTGGATAGCGATCATCCTGGATTTTCCGATCCCATATATCGTCAACGGCGTTTGCAAATTGCTAACATTGCATTCGAATATCGATAGTAAATTGATTGTTTGCAGGAAAAATTGCCATTTTTAAAAATATTCTCTTTTTTCTAGTGGCGATCCCATACCGAGAATAAAATATACCGAAGAAGAAATTAAGACCTGGGGTATTGTTTACAAAGAACTGGTACGATTGTTTCCAACACATGCATGTTCGAAACACATCCAAGTGTTTGAATTGTTGGAAAAAGAATGTGGCTATGCACCGGATAATATCCCCCAATTGGAAGATGTTTCACGTTTTCTCAAAAGTAAGTTGTTTGTTTTCCATCGATCAATTGTCATTATTTTTGTTTTATTTTCCAATTAGAACGCACTGGATTCACAATACGGCCGGCTGCTGGCCTGTTGACTGCACGGGATTTCCTTGCCAGTTTGGCTTATCGTGTATTTCAAACAACACAATATATGCGTCATCCAAGCGAACCGGATCATTCGCCCGAACCGGATTGTGTTCATGAATTATTGGGTCATATTCCTGTACTGGCCGATGAAAGTTTTGCTGATTTTTCACAGGAAATTGGACTGGCATCGCTTGGCGCAAGTGATGAGGATTTAGAAAAATTGGCTACAGTTGGGTTTTGCCTTCGCCAATGTTTTTGCAATATTTGATTGAGATTTGTTTTTATTTTTGTTTCCTAGCTATACTGGTTTACAGTGGAATTTGGTCTTTGTCGTGAAAATGGCCAGGTACGTGCATACGGTGCCGGATTATTGTCATCGTTTGGTGAACTGAAGCATTCGTTATCAAACAAGCCGGAATTGCGTGAATTCGAACCGGAAAAGACAGCCATACAACCTTATCAAGATTTGGACTACCAAGAAATCTACTATGTAGCCGAAAGTTTCGATGACGCAAAAGAAAAATTTCGTAAATATGTTGCGGAAAAACTGCCACGTCGTTTTGAAGTATCGTACGATCCATTCACAAATCGTGTCCATGTTATCGATTCGATGGAAAAATTGGATCGATTAATTGCAAACATTTCCAATCAAATCGAACGTCTGCACAGTTGTTCATCGAAATTACGTAAAGTTTTTGATTGAAAGCAAAAATGCTCATCAAATGTTGAATTTGGGAGAAAAATTTGAAAACTATTTATTGTTTGTTTGAAAAATATTGAAAATTAGAAAATTAGAATTGATTGGCGTTAACCTATTATTACATTATTACACTATTACATTATTATATGATGTTAGATTATCTTTTTCAAATAAATGTAATGGCTTAGATTTTAGATGAAACAATTAAAATGACTACCATAAACATAATAAGGAAATGAATAATGTGTGGGAGCCAAAACAGTGAATCAAAAACCAAACCAATCACTTTCCACGAGGTGTTGATGATTTTTTGATTTGATTTGCATTAAAATTGAAAATTGCCCACTTTTTCGCATGCTTGGAATGATGATATCATTGTGCCAATCAGCTATATCAACTTATTAGTTCATAGAAGCTCAAAACAGGTGCAGCTCGTCAGTAAACAATTCATTTTCTTTTGTTTTGACAGCTACATCCTTATTGATCAATCAATCAGAATAAATAAAAAGAAAAAAAAATAGGAAAGCTTACGACACCGAGTGTTCCCAAGTGGTCACCCTCCCAAGTACTGACTCGGCTCGACGTTGCTTAACTTCGGTGATCAGACGAGAACCGGTGTTCTCAACGTGATATGGTCGTAAGCTGAAAGAGTAGGACAAATATGATTTATTGAAACATAAATGAAAAATATAAAATTATTATTATCATCATCATTAACAAAGTGTTATTCATTCAAACTAACAAAAAATATCCAAACCATTTGGAAAGAGAGAGAGAAAAAATCAAAAGAAATGGATGGGAAAAACAATGAGACAAAAATTTTAGTTTGGGAAAGATCAAAAACAATTTGTGATGTGCATCACCGATTCATTGATTTTGATTTGGGAGGAAAAACAGATTAGATTTTTGTTCCATAGGATGGCTGATATTGATGTGGTTTGAATCCATTCTTGCGCGCTGCCACTGTTGATGCTGGCGATAATGGTGGCGATGGTGATGATGTTGGTGTCGGTGTTGGTGGCGATGGCAATGCACTTCCGTTCGCCATTCCGTACGTCGTTGATGGTAGACTACCGCCTCCGTTTTTATTACTTTTACCTTTTGTACCACCATATGAAGGTCTTGAACCCCCATTTGATCTGAAAATGGAAAGTTTTCAAATAAAATGCAAATTACCAATCAAATTGCACTTACTTTTTGGTTCCAAAACCATAGGTCGATTTGGATGTTGGGGCTGTTTTACGGCTAGCAATGGCCATATCAACAACTTTTTCAACATGCGGTAATATTGTTGTTAGTGGTAATGATTCGATTAATGGGGTTTCCGAATGAATTTCTTCCCCCAAGGCAGCATCCAAATTATATGGAGTCGTTTCATAGACTTCCTGACCAATCGGACTAGGTGTTGACGAACTACTGCCCCCATAAGTTGGTTCATATCTTGATGTCAGTTTGCCATTATTATTCTTATTACTTTTACCATTACTATATCCATAACTTGGAATAGAGGATGGTTTGGATCGTTGTTGTTGCTGACCATTATTTGAATAATACATGGGCGATGTTGTGGTCATTGGTGGAGCCATCAGTTGTTGTTGTGGCTGTTGTGGATACATTGATTGTTTTGGTGATTGGCCATAGCTTGGCACACTACCGCCACCAGCATTATCAATGGCGGCAAATCCATCAGCGTCATCAGCAGGACCGTTTGGCATTGATTCGACGATTGCTTCGACTTCTTTATAGAGTTCGGCATTCAATCCATAGAAAGCTGGTGAATCCATGCAGTCGAATTCATACCACCATACGCATACAAAATGACGTTGCGAAAATATCGTACCGTTCGGACATAAGAATGCATCATGACGGCCATCCTCCTGACAGATGTGAAAAACTTGACATTGTGTCTCCACATCAGCATAGTAGCCAGGCAATTGATGATCCGAGCATTTGAACTGGGTAATAGGAATATCCGATAGAATGGGATAATCTTTACCCGGTTCACCTCGGATCGTGTTTTTCATCATTTCCATCATCATATCGATGCTGTTGTCAAAACCATAATCATAATCGACATTATCACCATTATTTCCTCCATTATGCCCTTTGGGACTATATCCACCAAGATTTTGACCAGCACCATATGATTGATCAGCTTCCCGCATTTGTGTCATGAATTTTTTCGATAAATCTATTTCAACGCCAGCAGCAGCCAAACCAGCCGGTGGTGAACGTCGTGGTGGTAAATCCTCCTCTACGAATATTGTTTAATAAGATTACTTATCTTTTTAACAATGAGTAATTACCTTTTTGCTGTACAGTTCGAGGTGTTGAAGTTGGTGGAGCTGATGATCCAGAGGCTGGTGAATAACCACCATAGGGTAATGTTGTATACATTGCCGGAACTGGAACTGAACCACCGCCATTGCCATTAGCATTCATCATTTTTTGCTGTTGTTGTTCTTGTTGTTGCTGCTGCTGTTGCTGCTCTTGTTCTTCTTGTTGATGTTGTTGTTGATGCTGTTGAAAAGCATTCATGAGAAATTCCAGTTCCGTTTCCAGATCTTGATCATCGGGAATGAGTTCTTGTTGTTGTTGCTGTGGCTGTTGTTGTTGAACATCCTGAGATAATTCTTGTTGTTGTTGTTCTTGAATATAACGCGAAGTTCGTTGTCGAGGTTTTGTACTAATGTGCATGGGTATAGCTGTACGTGAAGTACGTCGTAATAGGATTCGATTCAATCGAACACCAGACGAGGATGATGGTGATTGATGAGTGAAGAAACATGTTACAATCGCTGGAAGCAATATGGCTATGGAAATGTGGAAATAGACACAACAAATAATGAAACAAATTAAATGTTTTCAAAATGTTTTTTCAATAGCTGCTGCTGTTAATTTATACCGGACAAAAGACTAACTAACCAACAAAAACAAAAAAGGAAGGAAAAATGACCGAATCAATATATTTTCTCTGATGCCAATGAATAAATGAATGAAATGATTTGCACATTCAGTCCCATATTGACAGTGTGTGAAAATATGGGCACGTCAAAAAGTGAGCAAAGCAAAAAACAATTATTAGTGATCCCTTTTGATTTGGATTCAATCTAAAAGTGGAAATTATCATTATTATCATTATTATTATTATCAATCATTCAAGATTTTATCATCACGGAACTGACTAACTAACTTGACTACTGTTGGAATGAGAAAGTATTAAAACTTTATGTTTATCGTTTAATAATGATAATGATTGAAAATGATGTAATGATTATTAATGGACTTACCGAAAAGTAATAGATGATTTGCCAACATTTTTCCTTTTCGATTTGTTTTTGTTCACTGTGAATGGTGGAACGAAAATGTTTTTGTTTCAATTCAAAAGTTGAATAACCGATCTGGTCGTCGTTGTTATTGTTGTTGGTGGAATAATCCCACAAAGCATACAACAGCAGAGTTATCTGAATCGAAATTTCCCCGGTAATCAAAACCAGAAACCAAAGAAAAACTTTTTCTGAAATAGAACACAATATTCAGTAATGGAAAGTGATGATGATCACCAAAGAAAATTGATGAATTTAGACTTGACTTAGTTTTGCTGGTTAATGATCCAAATAGCTTTGGAAATCGATGTTTATATATGATGGTGGAAAGAATGTTAAACATGATAATAAAATCATGGTAGAGACAGCCACACACTAAGTATATGTTAACAAGTTGTTGCTGGCCAGTTTCTTGAAAAGTTTCTTCTTTTTTGTCCAAACTTAAGCTCATTGCTGCTGATGCTGTTCCAAGACTTTTGGAACAGGCCCACTGTTCATTGATTCATTCAGCAATATGAATAACAGGCAATGAAGATTGGATCATCCTACAATTCTTTTTTGTTTATCATTCAGTTGTGATAATCATTGTTTCAAGTTTTATCGAATGTAAATGGAAATTATTTGCACTGAATAATTTCAAATTCAAATGTCATCATCATTCGATTGGGAATTTTCAGTTTTGACACGAGGAATTTGTAACAACAACGAAAAACAGAATCAAATTGATGTGGTCCCAACAAACAAACAAAATCCGGAGATTATTACGCCATACATTGAATGTGCATGCGATGGAGGATTTGAATAATTTCTTTGCAAAAGGGGATTTCCAAAACGTTCGAATTTAGAAAGCATTCGAATTCGTCTGTTGTCGTGCTAACCAGATCATCATCAAAATTGGAATGGATTTTTTTGAAGGATTCCTTGGGGAAAAATCAATCAATTTGTTTGGTGATAAATATCAAGGTGTGTTGCATCTGATAGATCAAGATCGAATTTAAAATTCAAATTTTTAGTTTTTCGGCAAAAAATCAATCACGATCGATCGATTTATGTTGTTGCTGTTTCCTCAATATTTCAATGTTTATTTATGTTGTTGATCATCATTGTGGATGACTTAATCTCAGTGAACCGATTTGAATTTGTTGTAATATTGTTTTGGTCATTTCAGTGAAGGATTTGATCCATTGTATTCTAATCATGTTTTGTTTGGAGAGAAAGACAAAACAAACAAAAATTATGATTCAAACATGATCGATATATCACATGGCACAACAGGATAATGTCACGCACGAATCCTCTTCATTTGAAGGATGTTATCCTTATCATCATTGGATGGAAAACATCCTTCAAAATTGTTTCATCATGGCTTTTTCTTCTTCTGTGCGGTGGATCAAGATTTTTTCGAAGAATTAGAACAATATCAAGATGATGATGCAATATGTAATTAGTTTTTTGATTTTCAATTTAGTAAATGATTATTGATCTAATAATTCATTTTGGTCAATCACATTCGGAACAATAATGATAGTGATGATTAGAAAATTAGACAACCAATTCGACAATCGTAATGTTCAATTATGTTTCAATCAAATATTGTGCTCAGCAAAAATAATTGATGATGGCCAATTGTTAAGCAAACAGCAAAAATCATCATCGAAATCTATCATAGGCGATGAAATGATGATTGTGTTGAATCACCACTTGTTAATGAAAGCCAATATTGTTCGATTTTTGGATATCATCTAGGCTAGGCAAGAAAGTTTTGCTCATCAAACATCCAATGCCAATTCGATTATCGATTATGATTGACTGATTGACGATTTGCTTTATTTAGTGAAAAACTGTCATCATAATTGAGATTTCCATCAGCTTTGTTTTGCCAAGCAGAAGGTTTCTCCCATTTTATTTTTATCAATTTTTCATTTTGAAAAATTTTCAATTTCAAAAAGCACGGTGACGAAACATTGGTGTGGAAATGGACAAAAAGTGTGACAGAATCGAATGCTAAACCCGGCAGCTCAAATAATCGATGTTCATCAATGGTCAATCGTCAATATCGCTTATGGAGATAAAATTTCAATGAATGAATCGACCTTTTACGGTTTTCCTCTTACCACTTGGTACATTTTGACTGATTACATTGTTTTGATTTTCAGTTGTTTTGTTTTTCGAATCTCAATCGATCGATCAAAAGCGATCAATTTTCGAATCTCTAAATCAAAACCATTATTTCCATCAAGTCAAATCGAATGTTGTTGTTCAAGTTTTTTCATCAAAATTGAAAAATGAAAAAATGAAATTTTTCATCAACGACGACCTTCGAGATTTAAGAATTGGAAAAAAACTGATGACAATAAGTCACAGACAATAGAGTTATTATTGACAAACATGCATGATTCATTCACCTAAAAATGCAAATAAATTCCCAAAAACTGTTACAAACTCGTGGCCAATTAAAATCCCTTTTTAAAGACTAAATCCCAAAGGATTAGAGAAGAAAGTTTAAATTTAAATTTTGATGAAAAAATGATTACAAAACACACAGTAATCCGATTCGTTTGTTTGTTAGTTTGTTTATCATATCATCACCTTTTGGAGGGAAATTAGGTAAGCTCATGTGGAAAACAACCATGTTGGCAATTTTGGCATATTTTTGGCAATTTCGTTTCTTAATTGACATCATTTGATCGTCAACCACCATTCATGATCTATGGATGTTTAGTTGATGAACATTTTCAATTATCATATCATCATTAGATTTTGGATCACGATTTTGGATTTTTGGAGACAGATGATCTTTATAGCTACTGGATTTATTAACAATCAATTTGATTGATTATGGTTTGATGATGAACTTGATCAATTTTGATTTGATGAACTTGCTGCATCTGCTGGTCGGCAATGTGACACCCTTGTTAAGGATTGTTTGCGGATGATAATGAAAAACAAAAACAATTTTCAAGATTGATCGAGAAAAATAACAATTTCAGAAGGTTATCGTCATCAAAGTGCTGCAAAAGTGTTCTGTTTGCTCATCTTTGAGCCAAGTTTGAAAATTGACAAAAGACAAACAGAAACTGTTGACTGACGACTGGCTATCATTGCGGATATCACGACCAAATTGAATGCATACCGAAAATGTTTTTTTAGTTTAGTTTTGTGAAAAATTATTCAAACACATCATCCGAATTGAAAGGAAATAATCATCACTTATCAATTAATCACTGGCTCTGTGAATGGCATTTTTAGTTTTGTTTGGCATTCACTTGCGGAACCATTTTGCATCATATTTACCATGATAATGATGACTCGTGATTTATCTTGTTTCTGTTTGGTAAATATGACTGTTAATAGGAATTTGAGTCAAATTTGACCATTATCATCATTCATTAATGTTTTATTTTAATTTTTCTTCCTTCACAACGAAAATGAAATTCAATTGAATTGACTTGATGAGAAATGTGCTTTATCAATAAATAAATCTCATTCGAATGTAATGGATTCCATCACCATCATCTGCATGAGTGGACAATGATGATGGCCATTATGGCGCTATAATTTTGTTTTGTTTGAACAACACCTGGCTGAGCCTAAATGTTGAAAATGTTGAAATGAAAATTAGATTTTATATTTTTAAATAAAAAAGACATCAATCATCGGATGGATGGATGAATAGATCATCCAAAAGTCATCTCCACTTGAATTTCACTTAATCATGATGGAAATGATTTGATTCAATTTCATTTGGACATTGCATTGAAATTCTCCAAAAGAACTTGAACTTGGCTTTTAACTTTTATTTTTGACCAAAGTCATTGGTCCAAAAATGGATGAATTAATTTCATTTTCAAAATTTAAGTACATCTTTTTCGATCAGAGTTCATTTTCATTTTTGTTTTTCTATTAATTATTTATAGCCGAGGAGAATGAATATAAATTGTTGTTTTCGTTTTGTATTGTTTTCTCCAGTAATTCGTAAACAACAACAACCCGGGGCTAATGAAGGGATTAATATCGATATTAGAAATCGATTTATATTCGATAAACTTCCGACATGTTTTCTTGATTTCGAATCGATTAATTGAGAACGATCCTTAAAGTAGTAAACATGTTAATCAATCGAAGCAAACATTAGCATCAAGTCACAATCAAAGCAAAGCTAAGTGCAACCTGGATACGAGAAAAATGCATTATTTTTGTTTCTCATCGTCAGTATTATTGCTACTGATTGGATGAAGATCAAAATGATATTAGCCAAAACAACATTAAGGTTTCGTTGTTGAAAACATTAAACGAAAAATGAAATGAAATGAATTGAAAACTGACTCAAGGTCTTGATTGAATAATAATTATGATTATCACTATAGACAGGCAGAAGCCATGACGATAATTATGACGAGAGGAGACAAACGATGGAAGATTATCTAACAAACAAAGCAAAAGTAAATCACACACACACAGCAGCTACCTATAACAATAATCATCACCATGATGGAAACCCGAAACGGACGTTGTTTCGAAACAATGGAATAGTAGGGGATGCATTTATGAATTTATGGATCTTGATTTATAAAATCATTCATGCAACATAAACATCAAATCAAATATACTTTGCGTTCAAGTACAATGGTTTTTTCGCATTGATCTCTCAGATGAAAACTCTTAGATTTCTTCTTTTGTCTTCTGAAACGATGAATACATAATGATGATGGTGGTGATGATAATCAATGTGTGTAAATGAATGTGCAAACAAAAGCATTTCGACAATTACGCAATGCACTTCCACCACCATCAACCACCTACAACTTTTGAATCTCTCATGAATGCAATGATACAATATTCATATGACAATCAAGATGGTGATGGTGATGAGTGTGTTGATAATGACCTTGATTCTAATTTTTTGGTGTCACTTTAAAATAGGGATAATTTTTTGAAAAAAAAAACTTAAAAAGGTGATGACGGAGAATTGGATGGACGAAAAATGAGAAATGTTATTTTTTGGGCGATAAATCCGTGATGGTGGTGGATTTCGACGGACCATCATCATGAATAAAACACGATCGATCAAAACCTTCGAAAATAGAAAAATCATCCGCGGATTAATTGTTTCAACTTAGTAATCATTGTCTATCCTTTCATGACAAACAAGCAAAGAACATCCATCGATGATGATCAATGATAATCATAAGGATAATGATCCAGAAACAAACAAACAAAGAACAAAATGAACACACGATTCATCACTCAAATAATATCGGTTATGAATGCATTCGATGTGAAACGAAAAATCGCCTTGAATATTCACCACGGAAGAAATGGAGCAAAACAAACATTCGATATTTGATTGGGAAAAGCATGAAACAATGACATTGTTTTGGTGGCTGCTAATCAATGAAATTATCAATTATGTAATTATAGCACTGAGGCAGACAATAATAGAAATCGATCATGATCCAAACCAACATTGGTGTAATTGCTCCATCTATAATTGACCTTTATCGATTATCTTCCAAACAAAAAACAAAAATACACGACTCACGATCTGTAGTGATGATGATCAAGTAATTAGATTACATCATAATCATCATTATGGTCAAAAACATCATCCATAATGTTTGTTTTTGCTGTGTTCAACATTGAATCTCGCCTCTGTGTGAGTTATGTGGAGGCAATTTGTTTGCAATCAATTTGATCTGTCATCCTCAAAAGACCATCATCATTCTAATTTGATTTTCATTTTCTAATCGAATTGAAATTGTTTTTTGTTTAAATGCTGAATGATTCTGATGGTAATATGGAGAGAAAGGTGATAATAAACAAATGATCATTATTCATCCATCAATCACACAATGATGAGGATGATGAAAAAATCTTTTCATGTCATCGATATTAATTAATAAATCTGTCTGTCTGCGATAGATTCGAGTTTTGTTATTCATAAAACATTTGCAAATTGAAACTTTGTTATTGAACTTTTGCCATTACTCTCAGTGTATCAGTAATATACACCCAGAATTGATGCCATGTGTGTTGGAAAAACGAATTTATTTCCATTATTCATCCCAACAATGATGATGATGATGATCATATGTTTGATGAAACAAAAGAAAGAAGAAACAAAACATGACATACCATCGATCGATCGATTGGATCGAAACAAGAAAATGTAAACGAGATGCCGACAGGCGTCAATTGACTTATGTAAAAAATATTTATACAGCTGAACGGTTTTGGGACGATTTGATCGAAAATATACATTTGCAAATGGTCATCATATTTCTATTGAAATGAACCAAGCAAGCATCAATCAATCGAATTAGTTATCATCATGATCGTCGAATGGGGCAAAAACAAAGTTTTCGATATTTATTGATTCGATGATGATGATGATGACCATGATGAAATCCATTCGAAATGTATGCTAACATTCAATTCAATACAACATTCAACCACTCAGCATTGGGTTTGGTTTGAACGAACATTTATTTATAAAGCTTCCGCTTTTTGAGATGAATATGGGATGAACAAAAATTTGAAAATGAAAATATTTTATTTATAATTTTGCAAAATAAATTATTAAACAACAATTGCTAACAATGTAGATGCTGGCGATAATTTTAACGTTTCCAATGTGTCTTGTTCGTTGGTCAATAAGGATAGACCTTGTTTGAATTGTACGCATTTACCGTCCAGTGCATTGCCAAAATGCTCAATAAACCACTTTTGCACATCGGCCAATGTCTCTTTTGAATAGAATATTGCCTCAATCAATTGCATTTCCCCAGCTAATTCAAATTTGAAGCGAAGTTTGGTGAAAACTGAACGAAAATTGCTTAGATTGGAATTTGAAACTAAAAGTTTGGCTTTCGTTTCTTTGCTGATGAGCATTTCTTCGATTTGTCGTGTTCGTTCAATATTGGAATAATATTCTTTCACATCAGCCGATGTAAGCCGAACATCGGATTCCGATTCGTTTGTGGCCTCTTCTGGTCTGGACTGGTCAATCAGTTTGACTTGTCTGTCCAATTCGATATGAATGATTTGTGGATTGGAAATCAAATCCTTCAGATAGGTCATTTTGGCTTTCCTTCCATCATCATCATCCACATCAGCATAGACCAGCCAATCGCAATCTTTGTCGTCGATAGTGAAACCAATGGCAAACATAAAATCCAATGCACCATCCAGGCTAAGAACTTTTTGTTCAATTTTGGACCGTCGGACACGTTTGAATTTTTCCAGTTGTTCATCGTTTTCGGCCAACAATAAATTCGATACAATTTTCAAGAGAATATCCAGACAATTTTGTAATTGAACATTAGGGCTACTATTGGACGATGGGCCATTATCGACAGAGCGATTACAATTGAATAGAATCATGGCTGATCGAAGAACGGGATCATCAGTGAAATTATCATAGATGGATGATTTGATTTGCCTAAGAATATCTTTGAATGGAACCGGGTCTGTCAGATCCAATGTCTGACAAGTGAAACGTTGTGCATCTTCAAATTCTTTGAAAGGATTTTCCATCTGTTTTGCTTGTTGCTGTTCTTGTTGTTGTTGGAGACGACGTTTTGCTTCCATGTCTTCTTTCATTTTCAATTCTTTTTCGAATTTTTGTTTTTCTTCAGCCATTATGTCATACAAAGTGGATTTATTAGCCGAAGTGGCTTTTGTTGAATTTGGTTTGGTCTCGAAACGAGCTAATGTAGCTTTGGCTACATTTTCATCTGGTCCACCTTGACGTTTTGGCTGACTTGGATTTTGTGATTGATGAGTTTTTTGTGCTTGACCAGTACCTAATACTCGTCCAACGCCAGAAGATGTTGGCTGTTGTTGTGATGCGCTATTGTCAGTAAGACGATACCCGGGTCCAGCTCGTTTGAATGTAAGATCGCCTTTTTTCTTATTGAATAAATCTTTGATTTTTTGCATGATTTCTAGATTCTGGGCGTATGTTCTTTCGGAAGCTTCAATTCGAGCGCCTCTTTACGAAGTTGATCTGGACAAAAAACACAAATTAAAACCAAATGAATTTAATTGAATTTAATATTTTAACCAAATTACCAAATATTAAATTCTTCTCCTCCTTACGGTCAATGAGAACATTGATACGCGAACCGAAAATTTTCCAAACAATCGTTAAGGACAAAAGATTGATCAGAAAGAATGCAATCAACCAGGTTAAGGAATATTCCCACATATGAACGATGACGATTTCGCAGATATAAATGGCAAAGACGTATCAAAAGATGATTTAATTTTTGCTTCAAATTGGCTAATCAAATTAACAATCAAAAATGAAATATCATTCCCACTAATTTTAATAATGAAAAAAATAACAACAATAACAACAACATTCAATCAATAAACGATCTACAAGATGGCGTTGATGACCAGTTCTTGACGATTGTTGAAAAATACATTATTTTCTCAACGATCTAATGTATAGTTGGGCCACTAGCGGGTGCCACATTGCAACCATTTATTAACGTTTTGTATGAACGGATAAAGAGTAAAGCGTGTTTACGAAAAATTGGTGTTTACTTGTTGAACAATCATTGTCAATTGTGATTTTTGTTTTTTGAATTAATATTTTTGATTTGTTACAAGACAATCATGAAACGACGAGCATCAACTGAGTTAGAGGATGATGGTGTTGGCCCATTGAAAACCAGATGTGAAGTATATCGCGAAACTAATTCAATCGGTATCCAAAACGAGAATTTTAAACAAGCTGATGACAATGGGGCAGTTAATGATGCAACGTTAGCATCAACATCAAATGGGCTTGTGCTTCCTGCTTTTCCTAGGCTTATGCCTAAAGAGTCTACGAAGGAAGAATTTTCGATGGCCTTTGCTATGGCATCAGGTATGGGCTCATTATTGGACTTGAAACGCGAAGGATTCAATAAAGAAATGATAACTCCCAAGTTATCAGCTAGATACGGTATTGCAACAATCTATACACACAAAAATGATAAGGTAGCGAAACACAATTGTAAGGAAACACTTGATGTAACTTACCGTGATGTTCAACACTTATATGGTGATCTGGTCAAGTTCTCTGAAGAACATTGGAATGGATTAAATTGTCAAGAACGTTTTATGCTGGCAGGTCAATTGTACACCAAAGAAAATTACTCAAAATCTGATTACACATTTCAAATGGACTTTTCTTTCGCATTGGCTCGTTTTATGTTGGCATGCATTGGCAAAAAACCCAGTGAAGGGTGTTGTCGACTCATTACTACCATGAGTGAAGCTAGTCAAGAGTTCTCATTTACCACTGATGAAATGAATTGCTGGAGAGATGTACATGCTCTGAGTCAATCTGATAAAATGGCTATATTTACGAATTTGATTGAAAGGAAATCAGATTTTAATCAACTTTTTCAAATTTTATTTGAACGTCTCAGTACATATGGATGGTCTTCACTGCATGTAGTGCAAGAAGCTATGGAAAAGTTGCCGTATATACCTTGGCCTGATCTCACTCAACGATGGTTTAGTGGTCAATTGGAAAAGTTTCAACAAGCATCCCTAGCATTCAAAAAATCAAAATTTCCTGCTCTTGAAACGGAACTTTTAAGTAAACATGGTGCTATCCATTATAGAGAATTAGCAGCATTCTGTGCGAAATTATTGAAAAGGAAAGGCTTCAACAGACATATTGCTCGACACGCTGGTTTGAGATCTATCCGATTAACACAGCAACAGCTCACTTTTATTGAAAAAATAGCTGCTGTGATTCCTGAGCCCATTGGCCTGAACGAAAGTATTTTGCGTGCTATCAATGGAATGCGTGGTATTGAAATGTCTGATAGTGAAATTACAGAATTCATAGCTCGTAGTCAAAAGGCATGTGAAGAATTACATGAACGGATTTATGGACCCAATTGGAAAACACTATCCGAGCAGGCCAGTATAGCATTGCAGGAATCAACCTCACTTGAACAACCTGAATAATTAACATGATAAACAGTTTCAATACTGATACATTATTCCTTTTCCAAACAATTTTTAAACTATTTTTGAAATAAAAAACTTTGTATTCAATTTGTATCTTGCTAATATACCCTGGCAGAAATTGAATAAAGAACAATATTTACTTGAATTTTGAAAATTTAATTTTGTCCACTATTATTTATTGAATTAGGATTTTCAAACACCAACAGTTTTCATCATGTTACTTGAAAT